AACGTAAAAAGAACTTTCTAGACAAGCACCAACGTCAAAAAGATTTTTGAATTATTTCTCTAACATGAAATGATCAGCCTTGACGATCGCTTCGTTTTTTTCCAATAACAATCTTCGACAAGGTCGTACCCACATAAATATTTCACGGCTTGCTCGATATTATGGTATAGGCGTCGTCTCTAATTCACGCATAGGATGCTACAGGATTATCTTGGACAGAGATAATTTTGTATACCCTCAATTTCGTGTTTCGCTCGATCTTTCTCTCATTTTACGTTTTACAATACCTCGTATAAAAGTAGTTTGGTGGTATCTCAGCATACTCGTTTCTACCGACAAGCAGTTGCACTTCCATAACTGTGTTTCTATTTGAAATATTAATTAGAATACATGACTGGCTTTTTTATGTCTGAGATAAATGCAAAGTAGAAAGATTGATTCAGATTGGCTAAAATATCACGTAACATGCGCTTAAAAAAATAAAAGGCGAATCGAGGACATTTTTCTTTTCGAATTCGCTTAAAACACGAAATTTGGAATGTACCCTTTGAGATATTGATACGCAATACGAAGGGATTTTCGGAATTTCATCTCAAAGGGTATTAAAATAGAGAATGGAAGGTTTTATATGAAAACGAAATCACTGAACAATCGAAAAGGAGAAGATTTTTTTAAGTGAAGTTACGTCAACTTGTTTCTAATACTTATTCATCAGATACTAGTTTTTACCTACGACTTCGTGTGCACGGAGTACAGATTGTCGGGAAAAAAGTAACTCATGTCTTTTTTAATATTAAAAAAAAGTGTATGCTAAATTTTGTGGGAAACCGTTAACGTGTCAAGAAGTAACATCTTTGTTCAATCATCAAAGAGAGTTCTTTTTGTTCTGTTTCTTAACAGAACAAAAAGAACTCTCTTTTAAATTTAAAATACTAGTAAAGATTGCAAGAGAAACGATTTGGGGGCCCAACGTAACCGTGTACATGCCTGAACCCTCTCAATTTAGGTATATACATTTCCAATTAGCAATATTGATACTTGATTTGTAATTGTCATTGCAAATCCTTTAAAAATAACAACTGCAATGAAAAAATTGATGCCTTCTGGTAGAGTAACCAATGAAGAAGTTTACAAAGAAATGAAAAACGGTTATCGTAGCATTTTAATGTTTGAAAAAGCAAATTGCAAAACATTGTAAATATGTACTAAAGGTAAAATAATACTTTACTCCTTTAAACTTCAAGAAAAAATATATTACGCAATTAACGACTTTGCAGCACTTCTTTGTTTATAGGACATAATAACGACGTGGCCTCGCAACCGACGATTTAATTAAAGTGAAAAATAAGCACAAAGCACAGCGAACCACGTTTTGACGCTTCTGAATAATATTCTCATTAGGAATTACACAATGTCTACGATCAGTACTACCCACGACATCGCAGAGTTATGAGGACACGCTCTCATTCTCGACATCCTGCGGGAAGCGCGGCCACTTGCGTCAGTGCCAACTAGGACCTTATCCTCGCCAATGTAGACGATCTGTCAGACGATTGTCCATTTGATATATGGTTACCGTCGCAAATAAATCTCACCTTGTAGTTCGCCATCATACACTTAAGGGCTTCTAATCTAGACGATCAACGTTCGCGATATCTCAACAATACCGAGATTCATACGCGACCTTCTCTATGGAGTTACAAAGGTGGAAAACGAGTTACATCTAATGAGTTCACTGTAAACCTTTGTGAATTGAACCGCGTTATCTCTGAAAGGGGTTCGCATTTTGACGTGCCCTATTTCATTCGTGAGACTGTTTTCTAATTTTCCGCCTGAATGCATAGTGGGAGCGAAAGGAGGTGTAAATTTTAGTTATTTACCGTAAAAAATGCCATTATTGTTGCTTCTTTATTTAGCAAAATAAGCAAGTCACAGATGCTTTTAAAGTATACGTGTTGCAAACTCAATTTTCAATTAAGGTTATCTTTTCAACTCCACAGAATATAGACGACACGCGAGGATAATGTTTTCAACGGATAGGCAGTACATCCGCTAACGATGCTGAAAAATGAAACGCATCAGCTATTGAGGCATATTCATTAATCCTATAATGCGAGATATACAATGTCGGGATGGGCGAGGAAGGTCGTAACTATTCATGTATTGGCGATGGATTCCCGTTTTGTATTCAGCAATTCAAATCATATGACTTAACAAATAGTGATAAATCAAATATCATTCTCATCATTGTAAGTAAGCGTTACTCAAGAATATCCCAATATTTTTCCTTTATATTTATAATTTTTTTTATTTGTAGATACGTTTACGCTACCACAAAAAACAAAATGTTGGACGTTGCTGTCCTATTTCTTCGTGCAGGTATCGTAATAAAACAAATAAATTCGTTAGTTCGTTTCACTAGCGACAAGCAGAGTAAGAAGTAGACTAGACAAGAGCTCTTGCCCTCATTATTTCATTGCAAAGGTGTGGTTATCACTTTATACCAGTATGGCACACAGCTTATTTGCTGTATTCCTAGTGGAATATAAAAATGTGGAGGTATGTTTCATCGGAGTGGCAAATGAAGACCGATATGTCCGCTATAAAATACAACCTACATGAACACTCGGCAACCACTGTAGTGTTTTGCCTACGGATGTGTAGGTAACCTTGGTGCGAGATGAGCGTCTTGGAGCGCGTGCTGTGTCCTTTGACACAAATGCGGATGCGCTCAATTGGTGCGGCGGCCGTTATCGAACCGCGCTAAACACCACGCAAGGCTACATTCGCGCACTTTTAACATATTTTTTTCTTTAAATTTTCAATTATTTTCAGTTTTGAAATTAAACTGTTACATAATGCATTGAAAGATAGTCTTGACAGCTTGAACAGTCTTTTTTAGATATAATATTGTAGAGCTTCGGATTATATGTAGAGCAGCTTAAAAGGACTCGTGTCCTGTTGTGGTGTGTTTATGTCTCTACAGTTTGAAATGTTAAATAATTCACTCCTTGAAAATATATTTTAATAAATGTAAGACCAATATGCAAACCCTTGCTTTAAATGCTTTCCAATTTTGAAATTGGTAACAATTACAATGAAATCTAAAGTACAAAAAGTGAATGTTTCAAAATGTACCTGTTCAAAATATAGCAGTGTATATGAAATTATGGTTTCTAGTAACATCTTTTGTGTCAGAGATTGTTCAGAATTATCTTAAAGACTGAAAATCATGAATATTATTGGTACTTAGAAATAATTAAGATAGTGGTAGTAATTCATATGAATTCCTAGAGTCAACTCGTCTGCATGGGTATTTTAATATTTTTATCCCTATCTTGTTTCTGTCACCATACTGTTTTACTTACATATTTTTTTCTATTGTATGGGTGGGATAGTGAAATTACATTAAATACTAAAGACGGAGACATAATATCTTAGTAGTGTGTTACCATTTTCTTTATTCGTGTCACAGTATCTAGTAGCTGAGTGAAAATGTGCACTGTAGTGACAGCAAAAATAGTAGGTTTCATATTAACAATAGATATGTAAAACTAAATATATGACATTGTCATATAGGACATTATTCCATATTGCAAAATATATTGAGTCAAATTTTTAAATACTACTGTTGAAAACAACACAGTAAGTTTATTAAATACTTCTTGTCCAGTTTATACAATAAATTGGCATATGAATAAAAAAAAATATGAATCCTACAACAATTAGAAAGAATCACAAGATTTTTGCAATGATCTGTGAATTTATGGGGTCTTGGACAATTACAAAATCTTAATATGATCAAGATGTTTACAAAGATATTTTTCATCTGATATCCCATGACATAATAGTGGTAATGGTAAGTTAAAATATGTTATATATTATTAATATTTGGGACACATTGCTAAATACATTAATAATTTTATTCAAAATAATTAGAAATCAATATTTAAAGCCTATTTATTAAAAATATTTCATTGATTCTTTTAACTATTACGAGACTGCCATAATTTTTAAAGTATAAGTAATGAATATGTCATGTAAACACAAATAAATTATAATGTATTTAGTATCATATGATTCATTGATAAAAAATCAATTATTAAATAATATTAATAAATATAAATATAAAATAATAATTAATATAGTTGTTTTGTCATTGTAATCTTTATTATTTTTCTTATTAGAATATTTTTTAAAAGCCGCTAAGTTCAATCTCGCAACGATTACAATAGCTTTTTTGAATTAAAACAAGTTCATAGAGAGGTAGCGTAAGTGTTAAATAATTCCTAATATCGATAATGATTATTAAAAAACTCGTTGGAATAACAAATTGCGATTAATCAATATTAAAACTATTTAAAAATCGTATAAATAAGAATTTATTTCAGGGGCGTGGTCTTCTCCTTATAAAATTTCACAGAAATACAATTTACTAGAACTAATGACTTCACTAATAAGTATAGCAAATATTTCATAATATAACTGCACATATATGTAAATTTTTAATAAAATGCCCAAAGAAATAAATAAAATAGTGGTACTCACGTCCAGAGATTCCTTAGACGCCATCTTTCACACACACAAACAAATTGACGTTTTTTGAAAATCGATAACAAGGCAAGGCACTATCTGGGTTCGGATAATTATATAGTTTTTCTATCAATTGAAAAATAAACTTTATACTAAAGTAAGCATTTTTTGTTTTTTATCCCCTAAAATAAAATTAATGAACTTATTACTTTTATCTAAAATTCCTATAATATAAATATAAATTATTCAGCAATTCATAATTTCAAAAAATAATAAATATCTATATATCTTGGATTATTTTTATCATAATCTTTTTTAATTACTTGGGAAAAATGGTTAAGTATTATTAATTTTACAGAGAAATCAAGTATAATTCTATTATAGAATAGAACGAAATTATTAAACGCGAATGTCAGTCAGACGTCATTCCAAAGATAATGTCAACGTCATTTATATGTTATTTTTCGGCGATTTCACTGATTCGCCGTTCTATCGGTTTCGATTGCGGCTTGTTTTCGTGTAATATATATACGTTTTTGTATATATTTATAATTGAAAAATATATATTCAAAAAGTGCCTCAGAGAAAATGGAAAGTATCGTTTTCATTTAAAACATCTATCCATGTACAGGAAAAATCGTTCTCCAGACTGATCAGCCATTATTTAAGAAATAAACAATATACTTAATACAATTTGTTATCCACGTATTTTAATGATCTGAAACTAATTAAAAACAATAGATAGCAAATCATTTTGTTTTTACAATTTATATTTTGTGTTACCTTACTGTTATTAGGTAAACATATTTTTTTTTATTGTTGAAAACTGTTAACTACCTAGAATTATTTTATCCGTATTTATCTATGATTTTAATTAAGATTAATTGATCAGAATGAGGATTAGAAGGTTATCAGCATTCTTTTGGGCAACTTGTATAATTGCATTTATATTTATACTATATGTGGTGACTGACCTGAGTCTTAAATTACCCAGCATAAAACCTGCAGTCCAAGAATTTGATGAGGTAAATATTTTTTTTTAAACATTAAAAATTAATACATAGATATGTACATATCTGTCATACCTGTCTCCATTAGGTGACATGGAAACAATGAACACTAAATGTTTCTATTCAAACAGTGCCTCAGAGAAAATGGAAAGTAGTGTTTTTGTTTAAAACATCTATTCATGTATATAGAATAGTAATATAAAGGAAAAATTCATGTTGTAATTTTACAGATATTTAAGTATAAATATGTATTTATTATGTGCAAATTATTTTTCTAGTTTTCATTCTATATTCTGAATTATTTTGTTTGTGATATGCAATCAGTACTATACATAGCTATTATGTTTAATTCAAGTAACCATATCTTTACATCTTTTTTATATTATGATATAAAATTTTCAGAGTAAATGGTCAGTATTTGAATCTAAGTTGCGTCATATAGAAAATGAGTTGACACAACATGATGTTGTGGTCGGAGAAATAAAGCAGGTAGTGGATCAGATTGCTGAACATTCACAAGGGCACCATCCACCACAGAGACGGCCAAAAGATGAGAAGAAATCAAATAAGTTGAGAGAGTTTAAAGCATTAGATGATAGTCATATAGGGCTACATGTGAAATTTAATGAATCCTCATGTCCTATACAATCTGTACCAAAGGCTGAGGTGCAGGTATGCAGTTGATTAACTATTAGAGTTTGTATTCTTGTTGATAATGTTATAATGTTTTAATTAGAAACTAGCTTTTTATACACTACCTCATATGTATGGATTTCCAAACTAGAAAAATCAATCTAAGAAGACTAAAGACTATCAGGTAGACGAAATTTCCAAAAATTATTGTTTATATTAACATCCTTTACATAAATTTTTCTTAAATATCTCCCATTTACAGCTATATTTAAAGAATAGTATATTTATAAAAGTAATTTTTGAAAATAATAAATAATTTTTTATAAATGGTGCTATAAAATGTAAATAAATAATGATTTTGCAGATGTTATCAATGTATGAGAGGATGTTGTTTGATGACAAAGATGGAGGTGTATGGAAACAAGGATGGAATATAGAATACAAGGAAGATCAGTGGAACCATAAGAATAAACTGAAAGTATTTATTGTACCACATTCACATAATGATCCGGGTAAGTCTTTAATAATAACCAAGTTGACAATATCAATCTTTATCTATATACATATAATAAAACTGTAAAGGATGAATGTCTGGATATAGAAAAAAAAATATTAAAAACCAAGTCAGGAGGATGTTAGAAGGGAAATAGAATCCTAATTTTTTTCAAATTTTTTGTTTCTCTGAACACTTCTCTGCACATGAACAAAAGAATATAGTGCTTGAGCACTATATTCTTTTGTTCATTTGTTTGTTGTTTGTTTATCATTGCTTTCTAAACAATATTGCAGGATGGATCAAGACATTTGAGAATTATTACAAATCACAGACAAAGGCAATATTCCACAACATGGTGGAGAAATTGTCAGAAGGCATTGGCAGGAAGTTTATTTGGGCTGAAATTAGTTTCCTATCATTATGGTGGAACTCTGATGCGTCGGATAATGACAAAGTTATTTTTAAGAAGTTAGTATTCCAACTAGTATGCATTGTTTATTTTAAAATAATCTGAAAAAATGATATTGTTTTTACAAATATTGTTTTATAGTGTTCAGAATTGGCATACAAAAACAATGATCCGTATGATGGAAGATGGTAACCAGCAGGACAGAGGTAGATTATGTCCTTCATATGGGAGCTGAAGATCACCCCCATTTCTTAAGTGGGTGCCACTACCACTGTAAAGAACTCCCATTTTCAGTTTTCTTCTTACAATAAAATATGAGGCATTTAAAAAGTGCCTATAAACATTTAAAAAGTTGGCAATACACAAGTCACTCCTCTCTTGTTACAAGTGTTTATTTGCCTCCTTAACAATAAAAGCTTTACCAATAAGAACAATACATTAAAAACAAGTAATAAAGAAACTAATTCATTTTATTATTTATTATCATGTTAAATTTTACTTACATAGTAAATAATTGTGCATACTCATATTATTATTTTCAGCTTACTTAAGTCTGGAAAGCTAGAAATTGTTACTGGTGGATGGGTAATGAATGATGAATCTAGTTCACACTGGTTGTCTATTATACAACAGCTGACAACTGGCCACCAGTGGTTGTTTGATAATTTGGGGTACATCCCTAAAAATGCATGGTCCATTGACCCCTTTGGTTACTCTAGTTCACAACCATATCTTCTAAAGTTAGCTGGTTTGGAGAATAGTGTTATACAACGAGTACACTATAGAGTTAAGAAGGAACTAGCCTTAAACAGGCAGCTGGAGTTTAAATGGAGACAGTTATGGGGTAATATTACTATGTTGATAAGATTTTAGTTCTCATGAATGGCAGTATATGAAGGGTACCATGATCATCACATTGTTTTATTATTTTTATCCTGTAGGGTACATGGTGCCGTTCATATCTATATGTGTCAGCTACCAAGTTTCTAACAGATGAACTGTCAGCATGTTTGTTATTTTATGTTGTATAAAAAAAATGTAAAAAAATGATCAAATAAACTATCCTCTATCTAGGAGAGGAGTCAAGAGTTTCCGAAACTAGCAGATCTGTATGAAATGGATTATTAAATAGAATGAAGCGAGAGAGTGATTAAGACTTATGGCAATTCACTCTCTTTGCCTTCTCAACAAAAAGACTTTGTGTTTGACAATTATAGATAGATATTATTTTTATCAACCCTACTCTGTATAGCTTGATCATAATACACATAGTAGTATTTATTTGTAATTTATTTCATTGTCTATGTGAATATTTTGAGTAGTGACTTTTAATTATCTACTATTACTAGTGATTTTATTTAATTAGAATATTAAGCAAATGATTCTTTAAAAAAGAAATCTATGTTTTTAGATGGTGTTGGAAAGACTGAAATGTTCACACATTTGATGCCATTCTATTCATATGATGTACCACATTCATGTGGTCCTGATCCAAAGGTAACTGCACTATCAATTATTATAATAATAATAGTGATATAATTCTAATAATATTAATTTTTATAATGTCTGAATAAAAATAGGCTTAATTTTAATTACATATATTTTTATGCTCAAATCATATGGATTTATTTGTAGATTTGCTGTCAGTTTGACTTCAAACGATTGCCTGGTAATGGCGTCACATGTCCTTGGGGGATCGCTCCAAGGAAAATAATACAGAAAAATGTAGAAGAAAGGTAATGTAAAGTAATTCAATGTTGAATATTGGAATAGATTTTTTTTTTGTATTATGTATACATTTAAGTTATGGTTAAAATTAATGCAATTTTAGTTGAATAGTAGTTTTATAATAGGTTTCATATCTTATAAACCTTACTAGTAAATCTTAAGAATGAGTTCGCTAATTTACTAACAATCCCTCTCTTAGATATTATCAGTTTTTTTAAATGGATAATATTGTAATGACAACTACTTTCATCTCATAAAAAAGCTCTTATTACATATTGATTTATACTATAAAGTATATGGATTAGTAATGTAAAAAAGAAAAAAGCAACAAGTATTTTAAACTAGATTGATGTCTAGGTCATTCACCTACACAATATAATCTTAAAGTGGATTTAACTAGTGCAGTTTATATTATATGTACACTAGTGTTTTTTAGTTTCAATCTTGTGAAATAACATATATGATAGAGCAAAATAGACAAGTCTATACAGTTTAAGCTCAAAGTAGATTCGACGGGTAAAGTTTACATTATACACACTATTCTATTTTCTTGTCTCTTTTTTGTGATTATATTTCCAAATTCTGTACATGAGAGCATCATACTTCGTCTATGGTTACAGGGCGCATTTAATCCTGGACCAATGGCGTAAGAAGGCGCAACTGTACCGAAGTAATGTTGTTATGTTCCCACTTGGAGATGATTTCCGTTACGACCGCGCTAACGAATGGGACAATCAGTATGGCAATTACGAAATGCTCATTGATTATATAAATAATAACGACGCTTGGAACGCGGAGGTATATCTTATTATAAACTAATTCTCCTAATAATTGTTATAAATGTAAAAGTTTTGTAAATATGCTTTGATATTTGTTACTCAATCAGATTTGAATGAAATTTGGTCGGACACAGAACGCACTATGCTAGAATAACAGATGGAACCCTTTTTATCCTATTTCAAGTGGAAAAAGCTAAGGGTTTCGGCTAGTTTAAGATATATAGAGATAATGAGAAACTAAAACTTAATATTAACTAATAGTATTTAATCTTATAATAATTCGCATATACCTACGAAAAATAACAGGATGCTCTCGCGTTCTATCTACGTTTTCCTTAGCGCACGCATGACAAAGAAAAAGACAACTTTTCCGTCTCGTTCTCCCTCATGCATGCGGTAGCGATAGTGCATTTATCGGCGGAATCTTTAATAGATATTTTGATTATACAGGTACAGTTTGGCACTTTGGAAGATTATTTCAAAGCCCTGCATGCTGAGACCAAATTGTCCGACTTTCCGGTGTTGTCTGGAGACTTCTTTACATATGCAGACAGAAGCCAGCATTACTGGAGTGGATATTACACATCGAGGCCATTCTATAAGAATATGGACAGGATACTTTTAGCTTATGTGAGGTTGGTGAAAGATGAGTGTTGTTTTTAATTTTTTTTTTTTTGAAGCTACATAATAAAGCTATCTCTACATTTAAATTTATATATTTTTAATGAGTATTTAAAGAAAGAAACAGTTAAAAATGTTTACTTTCAACTCTAACCCATATTACAATATATTTAAAAATGTTTTTGTCCAACAGAGCAGCTGAAATAATAACAGCCCAAGCGACATCTACACACTCGGTGACGTATATAATGTCGCTGCAGTTGCGTGACCGCGTGGAGCAAGCGCGCCGTATGCTGGCATTATTCCAGCATCACGATGGTATCACAGGCACTTCTAGAGACGAGGTTCGCGAAGACTACGCCAAAAAGTAAGCACTGATAACTTTGTACTTAATTGTTATTCTTTATTTATTAAGAAAAAATATTGTTTCTTGTACCATGAATACATACAAAATGCTTTTTTTTATACTACTTAGAATGGCAAACAAGCTGACAGTCCACGTGATGGAAAGTGATAACCGTCGCTTACCGCAGTACCATGGACATAACAGAGTATACTGTTTCGCCCATGATACCCCCCATGCGTTACCATTCCTGAGGACTCAAGTGTTATTTCTCTGTACCCAATAAATTCACGCCATATCCCATCCTTCAAACCGAAACACAGCCATGCAAATACAACTGCTTCACGGTAGAGACACGAATGGGACAGAGGTGCCCAAGCAATATATAATATAATAAGCAATATAATATTACACAGGTGTTCGATCCAGAAGGCAACCCGATAATGGCACAGGTGGCCCCAGTGGTAGCTGGCGAAAAGAGATTAGGTTTCGCCGCTAACAAGTTCAGCTAACAAGTATGCAGTGAAGCATTTTGTCATGGCAAATAAGCTGACTTTTTTATAATACTATAAAAGCAAATAAGCATACGGCCCGTGTGATGGTAAACAGGGTTACCGTAACGCGCACGATGCTGACTTAAGAAACCTTAATACGCCCTCTCTGAAGAACCCTATACTGTAATCTCTAAGGAAAACCTCGACAGGAAGATCATTCCACAACCTAAGTGTTCTCTGGAAGAAGTTCTTCTGAAATCGCTTTGTGCGTAACTATTGTAGTTCTAGGGTATAAGGTTTGCCTATATCATGGTTTAATGGTATAAACATTACATATACACGTTAAGAGTGACAGAATATACTGTAGCACCCAAAGCGCTGTCATTCTTCCATACTCTACAACTTATATATTATAGTCCTGAAAACTTGAAAGCTTGGCCACAAAACATGACTAGTACAGAGATAATCTAGCCAACGTGGTTTTTACCCTTCCTTTTGCTCCAAGAAACATTCAAGTTTCTTACAGATTCAAATAATATCGTTACAGAATGCTAACAGCAATCAAATACAGCCAGTCGGCGATACAGCAAGCTGCTTATTACTTGCTCAAACAACCCCCACTTATCGAGCAAACACAAGAGGACATATATTTCGACGTGGACGACATCTGGCGGCGGCATGACGAAATACCTGGCAGGATCACAATAGCCTTGGATATTGTGTTACCATCTAAAAGGCTGGTTTTGTATAATTCCCTGAGTTTTAAGAGGCATGAGGTGTTGACTGTTCTAGTATCTTCGCCTCATGTTGAGGTAAGTTGACAAAATCAGGATAATTTTATGGTTAGGAACTTTTATTTATGTGTTTCATTAGGTTTTTTTTTTATTTTATCTAGATGATGTCTATATATGACACTAGTGACAGACACACACTTCCCAAAGAGGGTTGACGTCAAGTAGGTGGCCGGTTGTAAAACTAAAAACCAAATCTTTTTGTAATATGGATAAAATCATATTACGCCGACCCCATATGATTGGGATAAGGGTAGGAAGATGATGATGATGATATCTATATATAGGAGATATTTAAGAAAAATTTATATGAAGGGTCTTAATAAGGCCAAAAAAGCCTAAACAGTAGTTTTTAGAAACTCTGTCTGTATTTCTCTCTGAATGTTTTTTCTGGCATCACATAAAAAGTACTGCACTAAATTGAATGCTATTATCAAAGTTATATTTCTAAATGTCTAACCTAAAAACTGGTGTATTTTTTTGTCTTGTCTTTAAGAATTAGTCTGCTTCATTGGTTTTCCTACATCTGAAATCCACGAAGTAGCGGGCAAAAGTCAGTCAGCAATATACTCGTAAATACATACATTGACAATTATATTAAAAACTGAATCAAGTATTTGTGTCAATTATAGGCATACACAACATTCTAATAATATTTCGGCAACAAACAAATTAAGGTTCATATATAGAAAAAAAAGAAATTAAAACTTATTTCAGTCAATATTTTATGTTCTTCAAGACAATATTTTAACCTCCAATTGCTAATCTTTTTTTGATGAAATTTGATGACCTTACTATTTTTTGTTTCTAACAATTTTTTCGACTTCATACGGAAGTCTTCAGAGGGCATACGGCGCTTTGCGTTACAGCGATTCGCCTCACACTGTGGACTGCAGCTCCTAAAGCTTGTGAAGTTTTCGGTGCGGGTGAGAATGGGGGTAGAGATAGTGGTATAAAACGTTGATGTTGTCGGAAACGAGTGATTGTATCGTAATGTGTAATGACAGCACCATTTATAGAATCCATACTAATCCATAGAAGACTTCTAGATGAAGTCGAAACAATTGTTGGAAACGACAAGCTGTAAGTTCATTGATTCCCATTGTTTATAATTACTCCTCTCCGTCCAAAGGTTGCCTGGAAGAGATCGCTCTTAGCGATAAGGTCGCCTATTGTTTTATCATTGTGATTATTTCTTGTAATTATTTATATTTATAATAAGTTTACTATTGTAATCTTTTGGAGGAAACAATAAAGAGTATATATCTATTTATATATAGACAGTTTTAATGTAATATTACACAGGTGTTCGATCCAGAAGGCAACCCGATAATGGCACAGGTGGCCCCAGTGGTAGCTGGTGAAAAGAGATTAGGTTTCGCCGCTAACAAGTTCCTGTTGTCCTTCCCGGTCACTGTGGATGCATTGTCTCTAACTATGTACACGGTGTCATTGCGTGATAATATGAGTATTAACAAGTAAGTGTTTTAATATTATTATTGATATATTTATTAATAGATTTTAAAATGAAATCATGGTATGTTGTTAACTAACAATTTAGAATATTCGCACTTGACCGACTTTTTTTTTATAATTGAAAATGCATAAATAAGTGCGTATTTTCGATTCTATTTATTTTAGAACTCTATTATATGCATTATATACTCGTATAAATGTTCTACATTTGTGTTACATACATGTTATAAAGGATGCGAAATAAAAACTGATTTTTAGATGTTGCCTAAGCACTGTCAGAGTATGCACTAAATCAAGGAAAAAGGTAATTCTATATTTATAAGTATAGTGCGTACCCTCAGTATTTTTAATTTTTATTTATAATGGACTGTATTAATAATAAAAATATAAGTGGGTACATTTATATAGGTATACAAGTAAAAAAGTACAAATAATAATAAAATAAACTAAATCGTAGTGTGTCGCCTACACATGTATTATACTTATATAACACTATGAAAATTTTTATATGTAGGTATTGCGAATATTATCTAATTAAAAATAAAAACAAATAAAATAAACAAACTAATAAAAATATAAACGACTAAATAATTTACTGACCACATAAAAGCAAATGTTCAAAAGCAGTTAAATCAAAACACAATAATTGATTGAATATTTCGATTTATTACTAACTTCATTTCAGTTTTTTCTATGATAATTTTAACAAAACTTGATTACTTATTCATTAATTCTATTGAATTAGACTTGTTTGGTACAGTTAAAAAAAATTATGTATTTTTTGCTTGTCTCGACAACTATTACCACACACGCGTCGCAGATTTAACAAGAATAACGGCATATACTTTGGTAGAAACGATGTCGATAAAACAGTATAAACATATTACAATTTATTTATTACACACACAGGTACACGTCATACACTCGTGTGCGTGTGTACAATGCGGATTATTGGAACATCGAGCTACCCAAGATGTTCCCGGTGGAGCAGCCCCCCGCTCGGCTTACTGAGGACGTCACAGTGCAGGCGGGCAACGGGACACGCGTGGTCGCCAACATGAACGGATTACTCAAAGCAATTGTGTCTTCGAATGGGGGCACCACACCGGTCCACATGGACTATGTGCAGTAAGACTTATATTATTTTTAGTATTTTTTTTTAATGGGTGATAATGGTATGGTAACCCCATCTGCGCTATCGGTATACACTGGCGGGGCACCAGTGAGGGATGACAGATGAAGATGAAAGTAGGTCAGTTAGCCCATTCTGACGAATTAAACTAGAATTAGTCACGATGGTTTCCAGGGGGAACCACGTGGAGGTCGACCTGATAAGGTATATTGCTAGTAATAGGGCTATTTGACCCCATTACTAACAATCCCTTTCCCCTATTTTTAGTATTAGTTAGAATCACTCTTAACTTGTATATAATCTTCTATTGATTTTTGTATTAGCGTATTATTTAAATGCCTCGTGGTACTTGCATAGAATGAGCTACCCCTTATTCACTGCTGAACATAGGCCTTTCCTATAAGGGAAGTTTTGTTAGTAGTTGCCTCGCTTGGCAGGCGGGTTAGCAACCGTGGTTAGGCCTTTAGTGGTGTATTAAGAGGAGCGTTGCTGGACATCCCTTCACCATAAGCTCCCTTTGTGACATCTTACGACACCCACGAAAGGAAGGGGGGGCCCATTCTATGCCTGAACACACACGGCGTCATATGATGTTGACATATGACGGTGATATTTTGACAAATTCTAATTATTTCTCTCTATTGTTTTTTTTTTATACAACTTAGAATGGCAAACAAGCTGACGGCCCACCTGATGTAAAGTGGTAACCGTCGCTTATAGACATGAGCAGTACCATGGACATAACAAAGTATACTGTTTCGCCCATGATACCCCCCATGCGTTGCCATTCGTGAGGACTCAGGTGTTATTCCTCTGTACCCAGTAAATTCACGCCATATCCAACCCTTCAAACCGCAACACAGCCATGCAAACACAACTGCTTCACAGTTGAAACACGAATGGGATGGGATGATTTCATTGTAGAGAATAATGTTTTGTATTATAATTTAAAGGTACGATACTCAAAAAGGACACGACAACAACAGCGGCGCGTACTTGTTCATACCACTCGGGCCAGCGCAGCCGTTCAAGTCGGACGCGTTTCCGGAGATTGTCATTACTGAGGGTATTTACAAGTCGACACTATATTCTTCCCTCAACGGGCCCAGAGCCGCCGAGATCGTGTTGGCTGTAAGTAAACTGCGAGAGAATTTTAAATCACTAAGTTTTTTAGAGACCTACTAACATTTATGACAACCTAGGGAGTTAAAAATAGGTTTATTTAACTTATGCTTTGTATAACCTAAATATATGCCTATGGTAAAGCTAAGGCCTATTTGCCTTAACGGGTTATATAAATAAAGTCCTTAGCTTAGATTATATAGATAGAGCATCGAGTTTTCAAAACGGGTCAACTTTTTGTCAGCTAATTGTCAAATTATCTAACTCGTTTTTTTTATCACTGTCCTATATACTTACGCACATAATGTACCTTGGCGTATCTATATTTAATTATTGAATAAATAAAACGAGTGATTACGCATTAAATATATGCAGAATTTATAAGACAAAATAAATATAGAAGTTACAAAGGAATCACTCATAACTATTTATTACGCAAATTTTGAAACATTTGTATGGGGACACTTTATCTGTATAATCTAAGGTTTTTAGATTTTATAGTACAGATGGAGTATCTCTATACAAAGATTTCATCAAAACAGGACAACTGGCCATGTGTACGTGAATAGGGTTATCACATTTTACGTTACGTTATATATCAATCTGATTCTGAAATCTAATTTACGCAATACAATGTGCTCACCGTTGCACCATATATATATATATATATATATATATATATATATATATATATATATATATATATATATATATATATATATATATATATATATATATATATATATATATATATATATATATATATATATATATATATATAATAGAATAAAAAAGATTCCCAATTGAAATTTAAAAAACCGACTTTATCTAGGAATTTTTTAATCTAATTACTGGCAACATTGAAAAAAAAAAAGAAATTAGTAAGCCAATGAAAGTAAACTCTTACATGAATCGTGTTACATGGGGATTTTTAACGCCCCCAGACCTATATAAGACGATTTGGGTGATGTGGCAGTGCAACACACTGCTTCAATTTCCAATGTTTGTGGGTTTCATCCCCACACAGTAGAAACATTTGCATTCGTGACAATTTTTGTATTTACCTGGATGTTTTCAATGTTTGATACGAATAGATATGTATGTATAAAAACAAGTATTTAAACATGTCTGTCAGTTGCTCATTCACCTGGTACCCTGGTATACTCTAGTACAGGGGTTCCTAAACTTTTAAGATAACAGAACGCCTTTTACAAATACCTTTTATATTATGTAACCCATATCAAACGACTACAAATAAAAAACACTGTAATTTAAATAAAAACAAAAGCTTTCATTAGAAATATTTTAAAAGTATAACACTTTATAGTTTCCTTTAATTGTTAATATGAAGAATAAAATTGTTTCACTATATAATTTCGCGGAACCCTGGTGACTTTTTTACGGAACTCACTTTAGGAATTGCTGCTCTAGTACCCAACTACTTAGTGGACGCTGTTTAATAAATTCACTGGTATTTTTTATTTATACCTCTATTTTTTTTTATATACAGATTTCTGTATACGACAACCCGTCACTGCCGCAAGCTGAAGTGGAGATAAGCAACACGCTGCTCATCGATCCAGTAGTCGACGATATAGAGCTCGCCATGCGTTTCTCAACCGAGATCAAGAATGGTGATGTTTTTTATACGGATCTAAATGGCATGCAGGTATGTTTGTACTATTTAAATCATATCAACTAAACAACAAAAAACTATAACAACAAAATATTCTTATTATAACGAGTCCAGACAATTTCTTTGTTAATTATAAATGTGGATGTCTTTTCCAAAAATATAATATACACAATTTGTTCAGCAAAACAGTGACATCTATTGTCAAAAACACACATACCAATAAATAAATGTTTCGTAGACACCCTACATTCTAAATATATGAGTTTAGAATGTTTAATTGAATGAAACATACATAACGTACTCTCGTGTTGATCCTATAATAATATTACCACTTGGATGTTCTTTTTGTCTTTTATGGAATAAAATCATAAATAATTTCATATTTATGATTTTATTATATACTAGCGGCCTGTCCTTTGGCGGCTCGCACGGGTGGACATTTTTACATTTTAAAAAGTGGCCATTAAGTCTATCATTCACGCATTGGAGTTGCGGGGGTACCGCATATAACAATATTTTTATTTTTAGATGACAAAACGTAGGTATTTCGAGAAGTTGCCGCTTCAAGCCAATTTTTACCCGCTACCAGCGGCGGCGTACATCGAAGATGAGTCGACCCGGTTTACATTGCTCACCTCTACGCCGCTGGGAATGGCCGCGTTGCAACCAGGGCAGATTGAGGTAGACTATTTTTTTTTTGTTATTGAAATCGAAACAGTCAAAATACTATTTCCAGACAGCCATATTTGATATTAAATATCTCATAATTTATTTTTAGTGCTTCATTTAAAGGGAACGCGGAAAACACAATAATAATTAGTAGTAGCAACAACTTTTTTTTTTATACGACCAGTAAATAGATAGAGATTTAAGTTTAATACTATTTATTAATATATATTTCGACAATATAAATATAAATTTTTAACTAAAAATATTGTGTATAACTGGAGTTACAGCGTTCTGAACACCCCCGTCTCGAAAAAATGAGCTTGCACTTCCTCCACGATTCCGGCTGATTGGCTTATCTGAAAAAAAAAAAAAAAAACGGCGTTTTAAACTATATGCCTAAATGCACGGAATGAACTATTATCAAATGAATATACAAAAAATTGGACTTTTGGTAGACATTTGAAATAAAAGTTGCGATTTTTCCGTTTTTTTTTTTGTTTTTTTTTGCGATAAAAAAATAGAAATTTTGCAGATTTTCGATTGATAATAGTTCATTCGATGCGTTTATATGTGCTGAGTATGTCCTATAAATTTCAAGTCATTCGGTCAAGCCGTTTTTGAGATACGATGGAGGAAAGTTTGAAAAACACAGTTTTGAGAAAAACGCGTTTAAAGTTTTTATCCTTTTTAACAGCCCGAAGTCGTGTTCCCATCCTCTTTTCTACGTGACCCACACATTCTTTTTTTGTTACCGCAGTATCTCCATACGGTTTAGTATCTAGGATCCCCTTGAAAGTTTTGCTGTCACCGTCGCCAATGTATGTTAGATACTTTACGCCATATTTTTCTACAGACCTCAGAAACATTTTCGTGATGGCACTTATTTCCATTTTACCGGAACTTCCGGAATGGTTTATGGTGCATTCATCTACATGCGTTTCATACCACATTTCGTATTCTAAAGGATTTGTTTTTTTTTTTTTCCACAAATTACATCCACCACAAAAACTACTCATGACCATGACATCTAAAACTTTCCCAGTGTACTTGCCGATCAACGTAGATACGCCGAGCAGAGATGAAAAGCCTCTTTTCTTCCAAGTACCGTCACCTGACACAGTCAATTCATCCTGTGATTTTCCTGATTTTTCATTCATAGTTTTTTCTTGCGTAACAGCGAATGCCAATAAAGTATCACACAGTGAAGATGTAGCAATATGAATGTTTTCCAGTAGTGCAGTATAAGTAGAATTTGCAACACCCGAACACATGTCCATAAAGCTACAGAAAAGATTTACTCCTTCTTGACCAACTCCCAATAATCGCATCGCAAATACAAACCGACGATTAACCTCAAATGCATTTCCGATCAACGGGCCTGAGTTTATAACTGTCTGTTTTTCACACTCACACGATAAAATAATTTTAAAGCCTAGGCCTCGGAAACTTGATCGCGAAATAGACACGTCACTTTTACAAGTTTTATAAAATTACATATATAAATGAATAAATATATATGAATAACAAATATACTTACACATATATGATATATACTATATTATACACGAATTTGGGAATAATATAAAGAACTTACTGCTCGGATAAAGATAAAAAGTGAGCGATATTTAAATTAAAAAATAAAAATAAACCAAATAGGTCCAGCTGTTTAGCAAATTTTAATTACTTTTTAACAATTTTACACGAAGTTTTCGCTAGCAAGTAAAACTTGCTGTGGTTGTACTAGTTTTAATTACACTTTTTCATTCAAACATCCAAACATGTAGAGTACAGATTTATAAAATACATTGTCTATTAACAGGTGATGCAAGACAGAAGACTGAGCCGGGATGACAACCGGGGAATGAACCAGGGCGTGCTGGATAACGTCCGGACGCGACATACATTCCGCGCCATCGTGGAACACGCCGCCGCGCCCTGCCCTGTATGTAAATTTATTTTTAATAGATAAAAATAAAATATCAGTTGTCCCATAGTGATGTATTCTTAAATAAAATTTAATCAAGATGGTTTCCAGAGGGAACCTATTGCTGACAGTGGGGCTGTTATATTGCTTTTAACTTTAATATTGTCTGGAAGAGATTGCTTAGCGATATGCTTAGCCTTTTGTATTTTTTTTATACAACTTAGAATGGCAAACAAGCTGACGGCCCACTTGATGGAAAGTGGTAACCGCCGACTATAGACATGAGCAGTACTACTTCTCATTAATATTTACTGTATTTGTTATTTTTTTTTTTTTTACTTGCTGCAATAACGTGTAAAATAAATAAATAAATAACATCGTTACTAATAGTCCCTTTAACCTCCCTGTATGAATATGATGCTGGATGGTCTATCCATACATACAAACTTTCGCATTTTAATATAAATATAATAAAGGGATGAAAGAGTTTGTAAATTATTATTAGCATTATTATAATACTTAAATGGCTGAACGGATATAAATAAATTTTGGTATATGGGTATGTTATAGTAACAATTTATAGTATCTTAACACAAGGATATTTTATATCCCATTACACCGCACTACTCTATTTCAATCTCTCCAGAGGGGAGACTTTGTACAAAAGTTGATTGTTTGGGTACCTCTGTCCGATTCAAGTTTTTACCGTCAAGCAGTTGTGTTTGCATGGCTGTGTTTCGGTTTGAAGGGTGGGATATGGCGTGATATTACTGGGTACAGAGGAATAAAACCTGAGTCCTCAGGAATGGCAACGAATTCAATTCAATTCAATTCAATTTATTCATAACAATATTACATTGTGTCGAATAGGTATGATAGGAATTTTACATATAAACAATGTCAATGGGGGGTATCATGGTCGAAGCAGTATACTCTGTTATGTCCATGGTACTGCTCATGTCTATAGCCGACGGTTACCACTATCCATCAAGTGGGCCGTCAGCTTGATTGCCATTCTAAGTTGTATAAAAACAAGAGCTAATTTGCAGGATGTAGCTATTAAATAAATAATTGTCCTGTTACAGACGCGACCGGCGGGCGCAGTAGGCGGGCAGCTGTCGACGGGCGCGCACGTGTCGCAGCAGCTGCACCTGCATCCGCTGGTCGTGATGCAGTACGCGGCGCGGGAGGACGCCGCCCGGCCCGCGTACTCGCGCTCCGCCTCCGCGCCCGTCGACGTCGTACTGGCCTCGTATAGGCCTTATGTCTCCACTAAGGTACCTATTTATAAAGCCGGGTTCTACAATTTTGACATATAATTCGTAATGGACAGTCAGAGGCATATGTTAACTGATCCTATTGCGACGAACGTAATATTTTTTTATACAACTTAGAATGGCAAACAAACTGACGGCCCACCTGATGGAAAGTAGTATCCGTCACTTATAGACATGAGCAGTACCATGGATATAACAGAGTATACTGTGTCGCCTATGATACCCTTTGTGCCTTGAGTATATATACTAATAATAAATCTGTTTAACTCTTTGCATAATGGTGAAAATTTCCATCATAACATTGAATGCTCAAAAATTTACAACAACAAGTTTACTTTAAGTTGATCGTAAACGCAGGAAACCTTTTTAATGTCCATTGCAGAAAAAAAAACATAAATTTATTTTTTTAACCATTTTTCCTTTAATTTTGAACATGAATTATATCACCTTGATTTATTTCACCAATAAAAAAATCATGCAAAGAAGCATAATGGTTTTGCTTTAAATAATTAACTAAACAATGTTGTGGGCTGACTTGCATTGACCTCTTATATTATGCAATGAAATTTTATTTTTCGGTTTATTATTCAGTCTCTTACAATAGGTATAGTTTCTCATAGACGGCCCATTAAATGCTTTTGACACTACGTTTTTATCGTATACGTAATATTTAAATTTATACATTTCAGAGCAAAAACGGCAATGCAATGCATGGTCTAGGCATGACCTTCCAACGTGTCTATTTAGACAATTGTTACGGGAACAAGGATATAAGCAAATGGTACCCTGTTGGTGATGGACAGGTAAGTTAATATTTAGTATACACACATAACCTAGAATAGTAGCGGGAGGGACCAGAGAGAGACTTTGTACAAAAGTTGATTGCTTGGGTACCTCTGTCCCATTCGTGTTTCTACCGTGAAGCAGTTGTGTTTGCATGGCTCTGTTTCGGTTTGAAGGGTGGGATATGGCGTGAATTTACAGGGTACAGAGAAATAACATCCGAGTCCTCAGGAATGGTAACGCATGGGGATATCATGGACGAAACAGTATACTCTGTTATGTCCATGGTACTGCTCATGTCTATAGGCGACGGTTACCACTTCATCCATCCATCAGTTGGGCCGTCAGCTTGTTTGCCATTCTAAGTTGCATAAAAAAATAGCAAATGTCAAATGACTTACTTCATGGAAAGTGGTAACTATCACCTTCAAACATGAGCAACACAATATGCTGTGATGCCCATTCTATCTCTTATGCATTGCCAATCAGCTATGATGTCATATTGAAATGCAAATAAGAAGATTGCCATTCTCGAGGGTTATGTTATTATATCTCTGTATTCTGTGAATTTTTGTGAATACCAGTGAGGGATGATAGCAGGTCAGTTTTCTACAAGAATTAACCAAGATGCTTTTCAGGAAGAACCGTATGGAGGTCGACCTGATAGGGCATAGTGATTGGAATAGAGCTGTTATATTCCTATTACTAACGATCCCTTCCTCTCATTCTGTAATTTCACTACCTATTACCTAGATATCACATTTCAAACTGAAATACAGCCACGCAAGCACATCTTTACAGCAAAACCCTAATGGGACCAGACAGAGATACCTAAGCAGACGAATTTTGCAGAATCCCTCTGGTCAACTGTTACCATGTAACTAAAGTCGAGAAAATTTGTTTTGACAAACAATGAAACTTTAAATTTGCAGGTACAATTGCCCGAATTAGTGGAAGTACGTGCAGAAGAAGTATTTGAGAGTACACTCACATTTGTGCATGTAGGGAAGGCTGTACCAGATGGTGCCCTCACGTTGTGCCCCATGGAGATACGATCTGTATTCATCAATCAAACAATGAAGCATGGTTAAGTATCAGGTACATTATATTCGAAACCGTTAGTGAGATAATCATTGCTGATATGGGGTGTGACAGAAATGAGAAAACAGGCGCTTTGTAATTTACTCTACGATATTTCATACAATAATTATGTTTTCCATATATAAAATGTTTGTATTTACGACAAAACTATCTGTTTTACTAACTCATAGAAATATAGGTATTTCTATGAATTAGTAAGTACAAGCTCTGCTTAGTTTGGGAATAGATGGCGCTGTTGTATGTACAGTGTTAATTATTTATAAACTAACGCCCCCGACTACGCACGGATGCAGTTATCTACATATATGATTATAAACTTTCCATAAAAATGTCTAAGTGACAGTGTAAATCTGTACAATAATTCGTCGCATACTCTAGAAATGAGCGGAAAAAAGACTTTATTTTATGCTATTTTAAGATTATTGTATGTATAATATCGTGACGGTAAAATCCTATGTTATTATTTTATATTACGGTAAATTATATAAGCGTCTAATGACTTGTTTTGGGTTCCGTACTTAAAGCGCTGATACACGAGACAAGAGGACACAATGAATATAATACGGTCTTAAATATTTATTTATATTATAAAATCAAAAATTTTGGCAAATTTTAATAGGGCGAAAATAAATGCTCAATTAATTGGGACAATTATAATGCGGGATTTTTTTACTTATATTAACGTGAGTCGTAAATACGACATATAAATATATGCATTTATTAAACAAAAAATGGCTTATATTTGTTGCTACTATATTTTGAATCAATGAAGTATTTTTCTTTTGTCTTGACGTCATAACAATAATGAGCAATGGTGCCTTTTTTTGGTAGAAAATACTTAAATATGTAAATTCTATTAATTATTGTGGTTGTATTATAATTTTTTTATTGTAAATCTTCTTGTAAAAAAAATAGACTTCAGTTAAAAAAATACGAGAACACATAAAAATATTATGAAAAAAAACCACGAAAACGAAATATACTAATTTTCGTCTAAATAAGAGCACTACCTTTGCGACATGTCACGACTTTTAAAGGGACAATGCTATTATTTCTAATTTCACTTGCTTTAGTATGTAAATCTTTTCATTCAAATTTGCAACGCTGTTTTATTGTATCATTTAGCTGGTCTGATGATGAACTTGTAAGCTACGCATGATAAACCCGTCATGTTTAGACTAGTTTTATTTATTATGACAAAAAGTAGCCCAGTGTAGTGCCTAGAGAGTTCGATGATGAAGATTGAAAGCAATAAGTTTGTTCTAACAAGACTTGTTTAATGTATAATGATTGAACGGTGCCACCCATCTTTATTAATGGTATATCGTGGGGGGATTGTGTACTATCACAATGGTTATCCATGCTTGTGTAAAAGTACATGGCTCTGTTAAATATTTATAATAGTGGTGTAACGAATATTTGCATTCGAAATTCCAGAATGTTCGCATCTTTTTTTATCGCATTCGCAAAAGATAATACGAATGCATTTCGCAGTTAAAAAAGACTACTTAAACTCAAAACCAATTAACGAGAAAACTATCGCCAGAGGGAGATTTTGTACAAAAGTCGATTGCTTGGGTACCTCTGTCCCATTCGTGTTTCAACCTTGAAACAGCTGTGTTTGCATGGCTGTGTTTCGATTTGAACTGAATTTAATGGGTACAGAGGAATAACACCTGAGTCCTCAGGAATGACAACGCATGGGGGGTGTCATGGGCGAAACAGTATACTCTGTTATGTCCACGGTACTGCTCATGTCTATAGGCGACGGTTACCACTTTCCATCAGGTGGGCCGTCAGCTTGTTTGCCATTCTAAGTTCTATAAAAAAAAGCTGACTTTAGTCAGTAAGCAATCATGGGTTTACTTCGTATAGTATCGGCTACTCTTAGTTTCAATACTTTCAACATGGCCGGTCGTGAACGCACGATTTAAATGTGAGGTAGTCTATATTTCCTTCTAGCACTATATTTAAAAAGCATATATTTGCATTCGCGAATGTTGAACTTAAATGTTTGCATTCACATTGCAAATGCGGGCCAATAGAATGTTCATTACATCACTGTTGGTGGCATTCACATGTTACATAAGGTAACTACATACGAATAACGCTTCACTCGTGTGGGACTCTTTTTTCCCCGTTTTCGTGGAGTTTACCTTTCCTGGTGAATCACATCACATGAGACACATCTATGGTATATTTATGTTATTAGATTTTATACTTATCTAAGTTAAATTTGTTAAGGGGCCACTTCCCATGATATATAATCGCACAAATAATGGGGAAAAAAATCTTAATTTTTATTTTATTTTAAAATTTCGTTATTACCAAAAAGAATGGCTAATTTTTTTAATCATATATGTAGGTACGTAACTTTATCGTTAAGTTTGTTTACTATTTTTTATATAATACTTAAGTATAATGTGATTAACAAATGTTGTAATGAGACATTGTGTCAGAATTCATATCATAAACACGTTATATTAAGTTCCTAAGTTAAAAAAATTGTTTTATAATTTTTTCATTTGGAATAACAAAGAATGTAATTGCATTTATTTCAAATATTATTTTATTAGTTCTAATAATCTGAGATATTGTTTTATTAGTAAGAATATTAAAATAATGAATAATATGAAATTTGTAAAACCTAATGTTCCTAAAATAAAAATTATAATAAGTCTTTCCAATCACTAGAGTATATTAACACCTCTGCAATTCCTCTGGTGTTGCGGGTGCTCATGGGCGGTGATAGCCATTTATGATGGCAAGTCACAAACGTCAGGCGAGCCGCATGCTCGTTTGCTACCTGTGCTATGAGAAAAGACTTACAAAAATATATCATAATAATGACTTAAATACATTATGATAATAATAAAGAAAAGACTAGGCAATTAAAAGGCTTATTTATTTATACAAAGAAGTCACAGCATATAATGTGGCGTAACAATGGATAGATAACAATCTTCTACCTTGTTTTTACCAGTCCATGGTGAGATATGGCTTCGAAACAGGCACGGATGCAGAATGGATACATTTTTGTTCGAGTTCAAAATATAAGTCGTAATATTATATTTCTGTATAAAAAAATCTTTAACTAAGACTTACTACCGGTTTACAAGAATAGTCTATAAAAAAAAATATGCGCTCCTTCAAACCATAAACGAAATTTTATATAAGTGCCTGTTTAAGTTTTTTCAACAATAGCATTTCCCACAATAACTTCTAGTTATTATTGAGAAGTAGTTTTTTCCTCACGTTTAACTATTACAAGTTTATACGAGATAATTTCTAACTGCTATAGCTGAAGATTTATTAATTTTTTCTAGTGGCAAAAACTAAATAATAATAAATAATTAAATATTATTCTAAATAATGTAAAGTATTAACCCTTCTTTCCATATTTTTTTTATTGGTGAAATAAATCAAGGTGATAAAATTCATGTTCAAAATTAAAAGAAAAATGGTTAAAAAAATAAATTTGACAGCTATGGTTTTTTTTTTCTATAATAGACATTAAAAAGGTATCCAGACACAATCAACTTAAAGTGAAACTGTTCTTTTATGTAATTTTTGGGCATTCAATGTTATGATGGAAATTTCCACAATTATGCAAAAAAGGGTTAATTAGTACTAACTAGTAATACTGTCAAAACCGACAAACTTTATTTTCACTAGCAATAAAACATGCATTATTTTATCAGTAGTTATGGGGAATGGCTACTTAAAATTATAAAAATGTAAATATTTGATATTACTAGTGGGTATAATATTATTTTGTATATATACGTGAGTAAATAATATACAAAACTTTAAATATGCGATACAATGATCTCTTATTACAAGTAACATGGGCTTGGTATTAACATTACTGTATTGTGAATGTCCCATTTTGGTTAAGTGTAAATTATATATGTAAATAATTTGAAATAAAATTACTTAACAAAATGTTTTTCATTATTTGTTAAATTACTAACAATGGTCAACCATGTTGAAGTCACCTAATTTTTAATTGCTGTTTGTTAGTCCCGCTAAAACTCTATAAGTGACTTATTTGAATGTTTTTTTTTTTGTCCCGTTTTGTTCTCTATAATACAAGGGTAACCACCCTAAAAGAAAAAAAATTGAAAAATCATACTCAGCTAAAGAATCGAAAAACTAGAAATAGGTATTTTTGTATGGATGTCGTTACTTCGGATTACTTTTAATAGAGGGCGTTGAATGCGTTAACGAAGTTAAGCGACCCGCTTAAGTTGTAGTAAAAAATAATAGTCACCAATAGACTATACCTGAATAAGTGGCAAATGAAATAAAGACCAAGAAGCTTGATATAATGAAACGAAATTCATATTTATTCATAAATGTAAGTAACAACAACAACAAGGCGTCTCTTTGCCCGCCAGATGGTGTGGGCGGGCGAGGTAGGGGCCCCGGGGCGTACCCCACTACCCCGTCTTCAACTCCGGAGGCATTAACCTCCGGGTCACTAGGTTTGCACTGGGTTTGCGGGGTGGTTTTTTCTTTTTTCATATTAGTGATGAAGTTGGTGGCGTTTCTTCTCTCTTGCTGTATATATATATATATATATATATTTTCTTTTTTTGTGAAATGAAAGTATATAGGTACTTACAAAAACCATACCAACCACTATAATCTGTGCCGGCCGTAAAATACGTGATACGTGCCTACTGTCTTAATAAAAGTTTAATTTTTTTATACAACTTAGAATGGCAAACAAGCTGACGGCCCACCTGATGGAAAGTGGTAACCGTCGCCTATAGACATGAGCAGTACCATGGACATAACAGAGTATACTGTTTCGCCCATGACAACTTCCATGCGTTGTCATTCCTGAGGACTCGGGTGTTATTCCACAGGTCAGGTGTTGTTAATTATAATTGAATAGCAAAATAATACCAAAAATTCCACATATAACAAATAAGTGGGCAAGTATATTTTAGAGATAAAGAATAAATAAAACTTAAAAATGGTATATATATTGTTTTATTTAATACGAGTAAATACAACAGGCAATTCACATACATAAAATCAATAACAAATTAATACTGGTTAAAATGCAGGCCCTGATCGAACGTGAAGTAGAAGTGGCAAACACACGTTTAATACGTTTTTACTACAAGACATTACTGTCTCGTTCTATCTCAGGTGTATACATGGGGTAACGATATCTATCAATAGATTTGTATGTTACTTATTTAGGCGACAGAATCGGTTGAAATATAAAAAAAATGAATAATTTTCCACTCTCTGTTATTATTAAAGGGTTAATCTCTGAAGACGAACCAGTAACGACTACTTCGTTTCGTCGTATTTAAAAGATTACGGTAAATAGGCAATGGGGTCGATTCAGAGGCGCCATTTCTCTATAGCTATTTTTAAAATTAAAATTTCAATTTGATATCACAGCGAAATCTTTATTGTAATGACCAATATGAACTAACTTTAAAATAGATTTAAGTCAAAATTATAAATTTTGTTCATGATGATCGATCGATCAGAGCCAATGATATAGTCGCAACTTGCTGGCAATACTTACCAGTATTTAAATATAATGCAACAAAAATAAAATTGCAGAATAATACTAAGAAAATTTTTCACAAAATGTCAATACAGAAAATAATAAAAAAAATTAGGTCATTTAATAAAACTTGGTATACTTAGTACACTAATACGTACTAGGTATAAGATTTATCAATTATTTTTGTTAAACAAAGCTGGACAAGAAAATACAAACTATGTTAATAAAAACTTCTGAATACAACACTATATTTTTTAATGTTAAAATTCGTTAGCCATTTGCTCGTAATTACGCGAAATACAAAGCAGTTTTTTTTTTATTTTTTCAAGCCAGAAAATAACATATTTTTTTATCCATAGCATATATACAGGACGTCGCTATGTCCTGTTATGTCCCATTACGATCTCCCTACCAGCATTATAAAAAAGTAATAAATTAATGGGATCGATTCTGAAGCAACCTATTTCAAAAATTAAAATGACATTTTGATACGACAATGAAATTTTTATTGTAAGGACCAATAGAAACTAACTTAGTCATCGATTGAATCCAAAATGATTATAATTTTAGTTTGAAATAGTCCACAAAACGGTAATTTTGTAAAATTATTAAACTAAAATATTAGGTTCAGAGAAATGGTGCTTCAGAATTAGTCCCATTATTAGGTACATATATTTTTATTATCATCACATCTCTAAAAACTACAAATTACCCTAAGCTCTGTGAAGATTAGGTACGTGTATATTTTTTTTTAATTTAAAACAATCATAAAATTTCACTAAAATAAAAACAAATACATTCATTATTTACGGTTCGCAGTATAATTTTATAAATGACCAGATATTATATATGAACAAATTTTTTACTTCTAAAGATAGTGCTCATAGCATTGTTCATTTTTGGCAAAACATTAATTGTTTATAAAGGGTGAAATCGACCGCGTTAGCTGTACGTAACAGTAAGAGTCAAAGCATGCTATAGAAAATATTAAGCCGAAAATTTCACATTTGAAAAATTAGAAAACGGTATTAACTTTTGAGTCTCGCATATTAACTTAATAATATAACGCGCCGGTTTAATTCGGGAGGTTCAACATTTTTAATCGTTTGTTCGACCCATAATTTTCTTGTGAATGTAAATACGTTGACGTTTTTAATTCGACCCTGTATTGCTACTTGTAAGACTGAGATGCTCCATCTTTATTTACATGTAGCAAAACACATTCAAATCACTTGACAATGTACGAAGTCCAAAAAGGAAAACTGTCATTACAATACAAAAGTATATACATATTTGCTTGAAGTCAGCAACATTGTTAAGCAACTATTGAGCAATTTTGCAACTTAATTGACTATATAAATAATTCTATATAAATAATTAAACCTACAGAAAACTAAAGTTTAAGTATAAGCGCAAAAAATAATACTATCACATAAATTCCTTGGGATTTTGTAATACTCATGTTAGTGTAAAATAAACCATTATATGACTAATAAATACTGTTAAATGTATTATACCAATATAAACCGATTAATAAACGGAGCGGTGCTGCACCGCACCCTTATGTACAAAGACATCAGATTAATATATAAAATAGTTTTTTTTATACAACTTAGAATGACAAACAACCTGACGGCCCACCTGATGGAAAGTGGTAACCGTCGCCTATTGACATGAGCAGTACCATGGACATAACAGAGTATATTGTTTCGCCCATGATACCCCCCCATGCGTTGCCATTCCTGAGGACTCGGGTATTATTTCTCTGTATCCTGTAAATACACTGCCTATACAAGTATCTTACCCTTCAAACTGAAACACGGGGAAAAAGGGATTGTTAGTAATGGAGACTAAAAATACCTTTGCTAGCAATATACCCAACCAGGTCGACCTCCTCGCGGTTCCCCCTGGAAATTATCATGGTTAATTCCTGATGAATTCATCATGATGGGCTAACTGGCCTGTTTTGATTCCCATTAGCGTAGGCGAGGTTACCACACCATTATCACTCATCAAGAAAAAAAACCGAAACATAACCATGCAAACACAACTGCTTCAAGGTAGAAACACGAATGGAACAGAGGTGCCTAAGCAAACGTCTTTTGTACAAAGTCTCCCTCTGGTGTATATATCATATACAGTGTTTTTTTTTAATATGTGATAATGACATGGCAACCCCGTCTGCGCTATCGGTATACACTGGCGGGGCGCCAGTGATAGATGACTGATGAGGATGAAAGCAGGTCAGTTAGCCGATCTTGACAAATTCAACTGGAATAAGATAACATGGTTTCCAGGGGGAACCACGTGGAGATTGACCTGCCAGGATATATTACAAGTAATGGGGCTATATGACCCTATTACTAACGATACCTTCCCTCCCCCCAGCCTCATGTACAATGTTTGCACAGGACAGCACGGCGCCGAACCGCTCCGTGTGTTAATACCCCAATATTATATCACCGTTATTAATTACTTAAAATACAAATATTCTAAGAATATATATTTAATCTACATTTCAGCGACTAGTAAGTATAGGTATGTATTGCTCATGGGCACCACTAAATTATATGTCAACATCACTACATTAGCTAAATTTTATATATTATAGTGCAAAGCCTTTTCCAATTAATATTTGTCTTGCTTATGGAAAATAACAAATGTATAATGCAGTCCGCATTATATTGATATAAATAAATACTATTAATTTATTAATTAATCATTAACCTTTTAAATACAATATAAATTCATATTATTCGAGACAAAGGCTAGATATATTCGCATTTCGTATTCGATTTCACGTTCATGCAATAAGGAAATGACTTCCCAATAGCATAGTGTTAGTTGATCATTGAGTCTCACTATTATAATAGTTTGTATACAAAAACCTAATTAACTCGAATTAAAAGTACTTTTAATTCGAGTGTTTGAAAGCAGAAAAAAATGTCAAATTTTAAATACACAATCGGGACTTAACGCAATGTAAAAGTTTTTACAGGTAACGTGGATAACATCACGCCGTGGTCCTGTCGTGGTCACGATGTGCTGCAATCCACGTCGAAACGTCGGCAATAAAGAAACAGGTACGCAGGTACTATTTACCTGTAATAGCTTTTACATCGCGTTAAAACCCGATTGTGTATTTAAAATATGTGTACACAACGCGAAAGTTTAAAATCAACCATTGTCAAATTGTTTATAAAATTATAATACTGATATCTGAATTGTAATTAATAAATATGTATTACATATTTATTAGTAAAATTAATTAAAATAATTTTTAAATATATAGAGGGTAATGTCAATGGCGCTCGGCGTTCATATTCAAATCGAATGGCCGTAAAAATGTTTTGTTTTACTAATACAAATAGTAATACTAACCTAAAATCAATAACCATCAGTAACCATAAATAAATAACCATGTCAGTATTTTAAATACATAAAATAAAATATTATAAAATAATTCTCTGAAACATAGTAAAATTAAGAATTCTTCAACTTTTGTTTTTCTCCTTATAGGAGGAATTGCTTTTCTCGTGGTTCTACTACAATATCTATTATACAGCCCCCCCCCCCCCCCCGCGCGATACAATATATTCTCATAAAAATATAACTATTCAAATATGTTGACAAAAGTGCTATCATAAGACAATACAGCTTTATTTTGTATATTCGACAATTTCCTGCTCTTATCCTAATTATTTAGGGTCGGCGTAATATAATTTTATTTATATTACATAAGGTTTCGGTTTTGTATTTTTTTCATAATTTAAATGGTGTTATTTTCTTTTTAATTAGTGTCTCCAATTATTCACAATTTTTAATAATTCATGGCATTGAGTTGGGAACTTTTTTTATCACAATATAAAATTTCTTAGTAATAATATAAATAGTCCATAAAACACATTAGAGTCTACATAATACATGCGTATTATCGAGGATTACTGAATTGCTTACATCGAAGGCCACTTTGAATTTGGGTTGTACAGTATTGATTAAATGTTGACATTTTTCCATAACTTCTGGTGATAATTGATAAATTGTGTCTGCAGTGCTGAAAAAAAAATTTTTTTTTCATATTATATACCATAATTAAATTGTAAAGAACCTATATTTATATCATAAGTAAGTAAGTACTCCAATGCTTTGAGCAGGGCCCGGACAGTTACATTACAATTCGGGTTCCGTTGGTTTGTCGGAGATGTGGTGAGTGCGAAAGCGAACCCATGTCTCCGACATATGGCACCTCGAGGGTATATCGTCTGGTTTTTGGTGGGTACACCCCCACCTTACGGGGGGATTCCCACAGTACCCATTCACCTCCCACAAGGTGTATGGGGCTGCTTAAAGCATTTTCCAGATGTTAAAAAAAAAAGGTTCCGTTGGTTTGTCTAATCGTGTCCATTGGACCACTGGTTTGTCAGAGTTATTTAGACAATGTTTTATCTATTAATAAATTTTAATCTATCTACATCAAGAGTCCTTGTAAAGTAAACAAACATAACGAATACAGTACGAAAAACCTTTATGCTATTTATTTATTTAAATAACTTTATTGACCAATTGACAATGTGGTATAAATGGCGGATTTAATACCAGTAGCATTCTCTACTAGATAGCCTTTGGGATGAACAGTGAATCACGAAAACAGTACTGCATTTTTAGGCATTAAAATAACAGATGTACCTAATAAACGTAACTAATCTACTTTCATAACATAAATTATGTTAAATCTAGATCAATAGTAGACATTTTTTTATGGTTTCCAATAAATAAATTAAATTAAATTAAAAATTATATTTATTTTTTAATTACATAAGTGTAGTCCGTCTATATATTAATAACTAGTAATTCGGCCCGATTTCGCACGGGTAGATTTAATTTTCGAATATACTATATATATATATATATATATATATATATATATATATATATATATATATATATATACTATGTCACTTCATGGTATGGTAGCTTTCTATATTTATAGTTGAAAGAATTCTTAAAATCGGTTGAGTAGTTTTTGAGTTTATTCATTATAAACAAACAGACAATAAATAAAATTTATTTATGTAAGAGATAATGTCAAGTTACGAAAAAATTTTTTAAAAACATAAATGTAAATAAAACTTACTCCTTCTGCTTTATTAGCGCGCGTCCCAATACGAGTCCCTGCAAACAGTTACCGATGCTCTCCAGGCTGAGGCAGTACGGGTGACATCCGCTTCGCTCCGCCCTTTCTTGTACCAACTTCAAAGCTTGTTTATGCCCACAGTTAACTTGCTGTAAATTTGAAATATATATTTAGGTCCATTCTTATTAATTTTATAAATGTGAAAGTGGCACCATGGATAGCACAGAGAGTTTACTGTGATGCCCGTGATAGATGCAAGTCTGAGAAATATGATGTGATAGTTCTATGCCATGTAAATTCACTACTACATCCTACCCTCAAACCGAAACAGCCACTCAAACACTTAAAAAACACAAAAGGTTAATCACAATGAGTGGGGGGAAGGGATTATTAGTAACGGAGACTAGCATCCCTTTGTTACCCAGGTCAACCTCCATGTGGTTCCACCTGGAAACTATAGTAAAATATTTTTAATGAATTTGTCACGATGGGCCATTATTTGCTTTCATCATCCATCTATCATCTGTCACTGATGATGCCATTCCATTATCATGTTTTAAAACATATCATTATGAGTACCTCAGTCGTAATGTCAGCAGCGAGAGATAGTGTGGTGAGTGCAGGCCAAATGGACCACTTGAGCAAGAACTGCAGTCTCTCATCGCTCCCTGGCACTAGTTGACCATCTACCGACGCGATGATATTGTTTTGTATACAATAATCTATCGACTCCGCTAACGTCTAGAAATAATAAAAATACAATATAGCAACAGTTAATTTTAAACTTTCGCGTTGAAACGTTGGCAATAAAAAAAGCTATAAAGGCTAATAAATTAGCTGCAAAGGTTTATTCATCCCGTTAAGTCCCGATTGTGTATTTAAAATATAGCAATAATTGTAACGTACGTATTAACTATCAAAATTCTAACACGTTTTAAGTTTAAGTTTGATATACAATTTATCAACGATAAATGAAAAAAAAGAAACGTTCTTATAACAAATTAAAGCATTGATCACGCATTAAAATTTCTATTAGACTATCAGTAAACTTTTGAAATTTAATAACTTATAAATTTTTATTTTTATTAAACTCCTAAAGTATATAATATGGAAAAGTGAACATCTTTCTTACCTTTTCCTCTGTTTCTTCTATATGGAAAAATTCATGACGTAAAAGTTTCCTTATTTGATGATAATCTGAAGATAGCTCATCTGGAAAAATTAATAATTTATTTTTGAGTATTTATTTGACGATCTTTGTTTAATTTTAGCAAAGTTAGTGTTCCGTATTGCAGCCACATATTATAAGTTCCTTTTTTTTAACAGCTAAATTGCTAGCAACGTGTCCTATCAGGTCGACCTCCACACGGTTCCCCTTAGAAACCATCGTGGTTAATTCTTGTTGAATTTGTCACCATGGGCCAACTGACCTACTTTCGTCCTCATCTATCATCTATCACTGGTGCCTCGCTAGACCGCTTATAACCGCCGTATAGCGCCAGCGGGGTTACTATTCCATATTCACCCATTTAAAATTAACGGCTTAACGAATCACTATGAAAATTGTTACACACGTACTATATGGAATGGAGAAGCTTATAGGCTATTATTCATCCTAGTGATTGAACATATCACGCGAAGGAAGTCGTGGGTAAAAGCTAGTCTAGCTAATTAATAAAAAATATAGCTGTTACCTTTTGTGATTGGTCTTCTAAGCACAATGAGTAAGACGATCGCCGGCGGAACTAAATAGTGCAGTATCGGATTTACATACAACTGCAACTGTATTATTGGTATGGCGGTCGCCATTGTTTCTGCTTTTAAAATGTGACCTGAAACAAGATACCCAATATATATTACTATCAATTTTAGAATACATAGGATATCATCACCATCACTAACGAAATCCAGCAATAGATTCTGATTCTTTATTTGCATTAAACATGGTTACATTAGATATTCAATTGTGTATACTTCGAGCTACATGTTTCATCAGAATACTAGTATGCAAACTTCCTTAAAATACTATAATCTAGTTAATAATAGTCATTTAAGTAAATTAAATAAATTAATAATAATCATTTAAGTAAATTAAATGTCCATTATAAATACACATATAACGGGGGGAAAGGGATTGTTAGTAATGGAGACGGAGAATCCCATTGCTAACAATATACCCAACCAGGTCGACCTCCTCGCGGTTCCCCCTGGAAACTATCATGGTTAATTCCTGATGAATTTATCATGATGGGCTAACTGGCCTGTTTTCATTCTCATCTATCACCCATCACTGGTGCTCCGCAAGCGTATCCCGTTAGCGCGTGCGGAGATTACCATACCATTTTCACTCATCAAAAAAAAATACCCAATAACATAAAAATAAACATACTAAGAATGATGAAATATGTGTATATATATATATATATATATATATATATATATATATATATATATATACATCAGAGGGAGACTGTACAAGAGTCATTTGCTTGAGTATCACTGTCCCATTTATGTTTCTGCCGTGAAACAGTTGTTTGCATGACTGTATTTCATAGGCGATATATTTATAGGCGACGGTTACATCTTTCTATCAGATGGGCCGGCAACTTATTTGCCATACTAAGTTGCATGAAAAAATATCCATTCCAGAGTAGATCTAGACTTATTTTATAAGATCCTACCACTAACTTCTGCAGATATAAGGCTTTTTATTGAAACTTGGTTTAAATTAAAGATAAGTTAAAAAAACAAATACAAGGCTTCCATTATGTTTGTTCTCAATTAGCCGCAAGTAGGAGTTGCCATTCTTGCGGTCATTTTTTTATAGGCAACTCTATATTATCTTATAGAAAAAAAAACTTCTGTTTAGTATACGTTGCATCATTTACCAACCAATTCTCTATAACTACAGCAACAATTACTTGTAGCCATTTTTAAAAAGGCAACCATATATTACCGTGTAAAGAAAAGAATGAACTTCCATTTGATGAAAATCTTGCATAAATGCATGATGAGTTTATAAATTTAACAAAATTATTCTTATTTTCGTGTTTAACTATGTATTTATCAAAGACATTACGGCCTTACATCGTTAACTGTTATCAGATCAGATTCAACGTATTTCCTTTGTTCTATAACATCGCATCCTTTAAAACTCGAATGAATAAGCACTTAGTGAGACGGCATAATGCGGCCAACCGTTGAGAGTAGAACATTTTCTTTTCGGTTGATCCCATTCATGAATCATATTGTATTTTTGTTCATTTAGGATAATATGGTGTCGTGTAATACGTTTATATAATAAAATACTATACTAAAACCAATTTCGTTACCTTTCATTTTCTTCTGTACATCTCTGGACACGTCCATGAGGGTACCGGATAGCAGACGAAGCCTCCTCTCCTTGTCCAGTTTCACCATCTTGCTGTGCACCACTAATATCCTATTCACATTTCCACGCACGTCGTTCTCAAATACCGTCGCCCCCAAGGTCCTCAACACAGTGATCATCCATTCCACTTGTGATAATACCTCGTCGAGACTCAACAATCGATTCTCTATGAGACTGCTCATTAGTACCAGAGCTAGTAAATTTGATATAGTGGCGACTGTACATTTCTGTTGTAGGATTATCACACGATTGGCAACACTTTGCACCTAGAAATAAAACAATTTTAAACATTTCTCAATAGGAAATTAAATTCTACCCTCAATTTTAGAGTGCAATTTCAGCTAAGAAGAATTGACAAGATCAGCTGTTATTATAATATCATCGAATACACGTGACAAAATTGTTTTTTTTTTTATACAACTTAGAATGGCAAACAAGCTGACGGCCCACCTGATAGAAAGTGGTTAGCGTCGCCTATAGACATGAGCAGTACCATGGACATAACAGAGTATACTGTTTCGCCCATGATACCCCTATGCGTTGCCATTCCTGAGGACTCAGGTGTTATTCCTATGTACCCAGTAAATTCACGTCATATCCCACCCTTCAAACCGAAACACAGCCATGCAAACACAACTGCTTCACGGTTGAAACACGAATGGGACAGAGGTACCCAAGTAATCGACTTTTGTACAGTCTCCCTCTGGTAAAACTCTGGAATATGATATCTATATTTTGTCTACGTCAAAATATATATATCATATTTTATGTAACAGTCAGTATACTAACTAAACACAAAATGTATGAAATTTGGTAGACGGTAAGTTATATTGAATATATAGGTTATTTTATACGCTAAAGCACGCGGGCAACGCCGCGGGAAACAACTAGTATTTACATAAAATACAAATAACGAACCTGTTTGAATTGTTCCGGTGTCAACTGCTGTAGATCTACTGGTTTGAGCATTTCGTTCGTATTCGGTATATTGTTGAGGTAAGATTTTACCGAGAGCGGCGTGCCTATGTTGATGTATATGTTGCCGTAGTGGTCGTTGAGACTGTACAGCGATTTTAACAGGCCCTGCAAAATATGAATTCTCAGTTAATGTTATAAATGTGAAAGTGAGTTTGTTTGTTTGTTACGTCTTGGTGTTTTATCGACTTAAAAAAATACTAACACAAATTTGGTACACAAGTAAGTATATGTATTAAATTTCATATAGATATGACATGGAGAATTATATAAGCTACTTTTTTATCCCAGCCAGTGAACATATTCCAGTTATGCAGACGAAGTCGCGGGTAAAAGCTACCATATATTAAATAAAAAAAATATAATCAAGACTATAATATCTAATGGGGCAGACACAGGTATTCGCCATTTCTTTCTATGGTTTTTAACGTAACACTTGATTTCACAACTGAGCATATTAGAATTCAACGAGAAAAACACAGACATTATGTTTTTCTTTTAAGCAATTTAGAATGATAAACAAACTGACGGCCCACCTGATGGAAAATGTTAACCGTCGCCTATAGACATGAGCAGCACCATGGGCATAACAGAGTATACTGTTTCACCCATGTTACCCTCCATGCATTGCCACTCCTGAGGACTCGGTTGTTATTCCTCTGTGCCCTAATATTGTTCGTATAATATTTATCAGTATGGTATCGATTAAAAAGTTAATCGATGAATTTGACAATTCAAAAATGAACATCTTGTGCAGATCGATTTAACAGTAATACATATATAGTCGATAGCAAATTTAATTCCCTTTCGAATAAAAAAAATCATCAAAATCAGTTAACAATTGACAAAACACAAAAAAGTAAATTGAATAGATAACATCTTCCAACTCGTGTTATTTTGTATATGATTTTTTTTCATCATGGAATACATATATTTCTTATTCTAATATATTTGTACATAAGTTGAAACTGGTATTTAGACTACAGCAGCTTGGCTAGTCGCCTTTTTTATATACATATTTGAATTTTTATATATTTTTTTCATATATTTTTTTGACATCTGTTTTTCTTTTAATGGGTACATATACAGTTTACGTGAAGTGACATACTGATTTATTATTCCTTAGTCACAATTACGTTAAATTATAATAATACATTTTCATACAACGATCGAAATTCGGCAAGCATTCAGACAAATTATTTGTCAATTATTATAAATACTAAGTTGGTACAACTTACCCCAGTGGACTCCTTGGGTTTAGGAACTCCGACGTGCTCATACGCGAAGAGTCCATGCTCCATCAGCCGATCATAGCTCAGGTTCACTGGTACTATCGTGATATCTGACACTTCTCGGGCGAATAGTGGCACCAAGCTCATGGACAACATACCTGCGTAAAACGTTTTGTTCACATCTTATAAAGTAATAGTGATCTAGCCTAGGTTTGAAAGTGCAACTAAAACTACAAAAATACAATTTTTAACAAAATAGCTTTCTTTTCGAAAGAATTTTTAAAATAAGCAGTTTTTGAGTTTATCCATTACAAATAATCAAATCTTTCCTCTTTATGATATTAGTATAGATATAAATTGGCAGGCAATTTTCAGAAAAAAAAAAAAACTAAATCCGTTTATAATTAATGAAGTGAGAAGGTAACAAACATAAAAAACACAACAGAATTGAAAACGCTTTTTTGAAGTCGGTTAAAATATAAACCAATTGTAATGATAAAATAATTTCTTATAGTTTACAAAAGAATATATAAATACCGTATTTCGGAGGTAGACTTTTATTACTGCGACTCCTAGTGCCCTCAAGGAAAAACTCTATCGGGCTGGGGTATTTAGACACCAACGTTCTCACGTACTGTTTGAGAGTCGCCGCGTACAAATGGTCACCAGCAAGGGTCCGGCGAATGTAAAAAGCGCCTGTCTCCCGCATCGCCTTACCCACCACGGCCATCGAATAGAAATCTGAAATGTAACACAGACATTAATTTAAATAGATATCGTAAAACTGCATACTGTACAAACTTGAATTTGGCAAACAAGCACATGGTCTATTTGATGGAATCTGGTTATCGTCATCTATAGATACAAATAGTAATATCATCATATTAGCCGTTGACTGTACATTGCTGAACACAAGCCTATTCCATAAAGTGGGATACTCCCAATAGTTGCCACATTTGTCAGGCGGGTTGGCAGTAAACAGCACATAGATATCGCAAAATACATCGCACTGTGCCGCTATGGTAGCCCTGATGCGTAACGTTTCGGAGAGCTAAGATATAATATTATGTTTCCGTAACCAATAATTTAATTGATATATCCATACTCCACTAATAGAAATACAAACATGCACGCATAAAATGCTTGGCGGCAATAAAACGAGTGCAATATCCAAGTAGACTTTTATAATCTCTTATAATGTACTTTTTGGCCCAATATTTACATATCATCATGATCTCAGAAATTATCTGTCCACTGCTGAACATAGGCCTTCCCTATAGACTGCCTTAAGGAACGATCCCAAGCCACCTGCATCCAGAGCAATGTATTTGGGGTCGTTACCCCATCTAGTCTGGGGGGGGGGGGGGGGATCGTCCCACATTGAATAAGCCCGTAAGGGGTCTCTACAAACTACTGCCAAAATATAGTCCAAAATCTATCCAGAGTTATAAGGAGGTTTGCTATCAATAGATAGTTTTTGTTACATCATTGTTGGTACTTAGCATACGTATAAAATGGCACGTTTAGTTTTATCTATCTACATTATTGTATCTTTGAATACAACATTATAATCCCTTTATCTCTGTTTTAGGACATTCAAACAAGAGAGATTTAATTTGAGATGTTGAATCGAAACTGACAACACGTTCGTGTGCAAATAATACGAAAGGCTCAGCAGTAGAATAATAAAAAAATACGATTTAAAAGAGCTTGTAAATAATTCTATTTGAATAAAGATTATTTCTATTATTGATAAAAACATTATATGTATAATATAAATAATAAAACCGGCAGGTATTGATTTTAGAAGTTTTTTTTTAATGGATGATAATGGAATGTTAATTCACCTGCGTTGTGCGTATGATACTGGCGGTACATCAGTGAGAGATAATAGGTGAGAATGAATTAGGTCAGTTGGGCCATCTAAACAGACGTCAAAAAACTCAACAGTTATTCTTTTAAATTTCTGTTAACATTATGTGTGTTTATTTAAACGTATGTTTAAAATATATGAACATTAAAAAACATGATCGACTAACACCGTCACATTGGGAGGAAAGGGATTGTTAGCAGTGGAGTTTGACAATATGCCTATGTCTAGCAATATGTCTTATTAGGTCGACCTCCACGTGGTTCCTCCTGGAAACCATTGTAAACAATTCTTGTTGAATTTGTCACGATGGGCTAACTGACCTACTTCATCCTCACCTATCATCCTTCACTGGTGCCCCGCCGGTGTATACCGATGGCGCGGGTGGGGTTACCATTCCATTATCATCCATTAAAAAAAAACACCGTCACATTTGTCATTCAAGTAACCGTTTTGTGTGTAATAGGCTTTTTTCAATAAGTATTTTTAATAATAGTTTTAAACTAATATTAAAAATGGACCAAAAATATCATTCGGTATCTTATTATTAAATGTTATTTAATGCCCCCTTCCATAAAAGATTTAATAACTCTTCAAAACAATACTTCGGATAATTGATATAAATACAAGTATGTAAAATTCGAATGGGTTGTTAAACCTTGAAAAAGGTGCGCATTAACGTACCAACACCTATGTGTAATATGTACGTATCTATAATTAAGAATGTAAACATAAATAAGTGTTTAAATAATACAAACGTGGTGGATTTACCGTGTATTTTTATATTTATAGCAAAATTTATGGTGAAAAGACAACATCATACTTACAGGCATATTAATATAATATTTTGTTAGAATGGAAAATTTCTAATAAATAGGTATATGACTATGTACCTAAAAAAAATCAACTTCAAATGTGGCAAAACTTTGATTTAAAAATCTACTGAACCGATTTTGATAAAATTTCTATGGGACTAATCTGTAGTCATATCTTTTCACATAAAACATAGGACATTCCAAAACAATTTATAACTGATGGAGGTATGACGTAATAAACAAAAAAAAAATAGTTTTGAAGTCAGCTAATAATGACAGAATATTTTAAATCAGAATATTTTAAGTCGTTTTCCATTCCGTATTTCTTTAAGAATAAGGTTCAGTTTCAATAGTAGAACGTTTGTTCCACTCATTCGACCAGTTTCACTGTAAGTATCTAGTATAGTAGACAAATACAAAATTAGATACTTATATTAAATGGCAGCAACTACGCCATTAAGTAAGTCAAATAACACAATATTTGTGTAGGGACTTACCGCATCTGACAACTGTTAAGGTAAATAGCAATTTATTCATTTAATACCTACATGTACTCTGTGAGATCATTATTGCTAGGATTAATTTACACGTAAGTACTAATACTTACTTATTTAAGGGACGGAATTATTTCTATTGTTACTATATATACTTAATATTATAAACGGGAAAGTGTGTTAAATCTTTTGTTTCTTTGTTACCTCTTAATGTTTTAACCATATTTTTTTTTTATACAACTTAGAATGGCAAACAAGCTGACGGACCACCTGATGGAAAGTGGTAACCGTCGTCTATAGACATGAGCAGTACCATGGACATAACAGAGTATACTGTTTCGCTCATGATACCCCCCATACGTTGCCATTCCTGAGGACTCGGGTGTATTCCTCTGTACCCAGTATATTCACGCCATATCCCACCCTTCAAACTGAAACACAGCCATGCAAACACAACTGCTTCACGGTTGAAACACGAATGGGACAGAGGTACTAAAGCAATCGACTTTTGTACAAAGTTTTTCTCTGGTATACACGTACTACGTACATAGGGGATGGTGAAGGACATTTGCTACTTTTTATACCGGTCATGCGGATGAAGTCGCGATTATAAACTAGTGAAAGGTGGAAAGGTCGGAATTTTGAACGTCGTAAGGCTACAAATAGGTGGACCAATTTCTTGTTGTAAATTGTATCTTTCCTTCCTCAGTCTTCAATGTATTCATTTGTTTTGTCAAAGGCAATTACTTTTTGTCTGTCGAATGTCTTAACGGCCAGCAAGAAAACCGACCAAAGAGACCGGAACAACTAGTTTTTTATTCAAATTTAAATAGCTTAATTACAAATAGAAAACGATTATTATAATTATTCAAGAACAGCAACGCATGAAAGGTTCCTATAATAGGCATTGCAATGTATTTTGCTATGTCCATAGTACTGTTCATATCTATAGGCGACAATAACCATTTTCCATCATATGAGCCGTCAGCTTGTTTGCCATTTTCTAAGCCATTATATAATAAGACTACAGCAAGGGGTTCCTCAAAAAGGGCCCATTAAGGTGCCATAAGGGTTAACAACGCGCGCGTGACATACCTGGTGTTACAGGCGTCCATAGGCTACGGTAATTCGTTTACCATCAGGCGGGCCGTATGCTTGTTCGTCACTATAGTTGCATAAAAAAAAATAGACAGGTATGCCATCTTGTAAGTCATCACTTGAGAATGGCCAGACCGATTTGGCTATTTTTATCCGAATTTTGGTAAGACGTCTGTGGAATTAACTAGTTAATAAATCGATTTTATAGTAAAGGTACTAGTATAGTATTATATTATCTGTGATAAAGGAGATTTAAGATTTCATTGCTAACAATTGATATATTGATAGTTAGACCATGAGGTCCCCTGGAAGCAATCTAGTTGACCCATAGTGACAGTCGTCGTGCACTATGGGTCAACTGACATTAATTAGGGGAGAAAGGGATTGTTAGTAATCAGGACGACCTCAATTCCACCTGGAAAACATCGTGTTGAATCCCAAGTATATTAATTATGATGTAGCCTATTGTGATATATATACCTGACCTACCTTTTCATTCTCACCTCAGTGATGCCCCGCTAGCGTATACCGTTAGCGCAGGTGGAGTTGCCATTCCACTATCATTCATTAAACAAATTGCATAAATTCTTTTTCATCATACAGCACGTGGAATTACAATTCCTCCCTGGTCTTCTAAATCTATTTAACAAGTGACTATCATTTTCAAACATTAAAAAAAATTGTGATAATAAAAAAAAAAACTTACCCATGCCGGCTGCGACAGCTGGTAAATCGATATCATAATGATAGCAGAGGTATGTCATCAAACAAAAATCGGCATAGCTTCGGTGTGTAGGCAGGAACAAAATTGGATTCGTTTTCATTGATGATCTAAGCTAAAACACAATGTTACTCTTGAGTGCTCCAATATTGATAATATATCATATATTATCAGAAAACTCTAATGATAATTATGAAACACAGTTTTATGATCTTTATATTTCATCTAATGTGGAGGGTGGCCCAACACTATGCTTACCTCCACAGAAGTGTCATGCAAAAATGATAAAATATAAGGGAGATTTAAGTTCAGCACTGGATGATAGATAAAACATTTTATTTATTTCAATTTTTTTTGCAATTTTCTCTATAAATAAAACTGAATTTTTTAAATATTTTGCTATATATAAATAAGTTATCATTAAATACTTAAAATAAGTCTTAAATTACTATCACTGGTGCAATCCTATTAATTGTAAATATAAATGTTTGTAAGAATGTAATGACTAGATGAATTTAAATGAAATTAAGTACACAAATGGACTATATTCTAGTTTAAATATAGTTTATATTTTATTGTAATTTCTATTCTATAACTTAAGTTAATTAAATAATATTTAATATATATATATATATATATTAAATAGGTTAAAACTTCCTTGATTGTATTTTAAATTTATAGTATGAGCAGTCTGAGAAAGATCACTAAAAAATATAAATAGATAACTTATTTTTTGACATTTTTATCTAGAAACTTAGGTTGATGCAACAAAATCTGATTATTAAAATACCTTTAGAACAGCAGGCTCATTGACAAATATACCAATTTTCATCATGAATGATATTTTCAAGAAGGCTATTCCCATCCATCTGATCACATGCATTTTTTTATCGAGACACATTTCTTCAAGATAATTCATAACTTCTTTTTTCAATTTTACTTTACACCCTCCATTTCTTGCAGTCTCCTGTTTTGTAGATTATAAGATAATGTAAGGGAAATAAATAAATCTAATTTATTTTTTTAATAATTTATTGATTCATAAAAAATATGGGACACCAAATAATATTAAGTAAGAAATATATATTATTATTTAAAAAAATATAAATTATTATTTTTATTATTCATTTGTTCTGTTCCTGTGTATAGGTGACTGTAACCATTTTCTGTTAACTTGTTTGCTATTCTATTTTGCAAAAAAAATATAATTTATACACTTTTGTAAATTTACTTTTAGCAAATATATCGGGTTATAATGAAAATGTACATAGGTAGACTTATCCCTAGAAGAGATTTCTTGTAGTCAACCTAGATATGTTCTAATCCCTTCCCAACCAACAACATATCTAAATTGAATAGAAGAAATCCCTTCAAGGGATAAGTACATGTACATTATATATAATTAATTACAAACATGACATATATGATTTTTTATTAATGAATAATTACCTACATAACTGCAATTTTCAAAAAACAATAAAAAAAAACATACTAATAACAAGAAAAAATTAATAAATAAGAAATAAGAAAAAATATAACAGACATCCTATATCACACACTTACAATGGTAATCAGCAGGACATCTTGGAATATACTTAATGACTAACAAAGGCAACACAATATTATTTATTTTTTAATGAATAATAATGGAATGGTACATTGCATTGCCAGCGCTAATGGTATATACTGGTATAGTACCAATTAATGAATATAAACCAGGTGGAGAAAAGAAAGGACAGCTTTGAAGAGAGTGGAGTGATTATATCATGGTTACAATAGGTAAAGAATCGAAGACAAGAGTAAGAAACAAAGGATAGACAGAATAATACTGTAAAAGGCTATGGGTACCGACTGACCAAGAATGCTTCCAGAATACATACATTTTATTTTTATTTTATTACAAGAATTAATTTAATTAAGATAGATAAGGAAAAAATAGTATGTATAAAAATATTAACATTTTAGAAGATTTGATAAATGCTTTATTATTATCAATTATAATTAAACTTACCGCTTCAATAAATGAATCAAGATACACCGAATCTAAAACCATGCCCTTCAATTCTTGTGGAGAATAGTATTTGTCCATATTAAATGTTCGGAGAGGGTGCCATGCTCTTGTCATAAACTGAAATATCCCACTTTCCATTTTTCTCGCCAACAAAATATCTCTAAATTCGACTACCTCAGACATTTTCATATGTTTTAGAGAAACTTTATTATTTTACACCATTCTGTTTCACTGGTTTTATTTTTGTTTTAACTGTTTTTTAATTATTTATATATGTTAATAATTTCTTACTTTTTAATAAATGACTTCTCTGTTTATAATCAATAAAAAATTTAATATAACATCTTAACTGGCGGCAACCGTTTGCCTGTGTGTGTAGAACAAAATGAATGAAATTATAAGCGAGCAAGCCACCATCACATGTTCAACTCCCTTGAATACCTTGAATTATTTTAATTATAAATGTATGACTACTATACATTTATTACTGGCTTAGATACATAGGAAATTAGCTAAATAAACATATATATGATTTCAGGTGCTGAAATTGATGTTAATTAATAAACATGAATAAAAAGTTTGAGATATGATATACTAGTATTTGCGTGAAAGCTTGAGGAGAATTTTATTCATTAGCCTGAAATAAAATCAAAGAATTGAATAAATATGTGGATTGCGGACAGAAAATCCTGAATTAAAGTGTAGCCAACTTATTTTCAGCTATTCGGACTAAAGTTTATTAAAAAAGTTGATTGTTATTTGATAAACAAAATACAAAATTTTAGATATTATACTTACTTTTGTGTTTTTATCGTTTTGATTATTCTTAAATTAGGCCTTACATACGGCTAGAGACTAAATTAATATTATAAGAGTTAGAAGGTACAAAATAACTAATTGAGCTCTAAATGACTAAATTGGCAATACTGAACAAAGTGTGAGGATTGAACGTTGCTATGACTGTTAAGAGTTGACACCATTCTTATATTGACGAATATGGAAAATCACTTATGTAACAAAAATGAGTATTTTATGGGGTTAGAAAAAAATAGTAATAAATCGAAATATTCAATTAATTAAACAATTTTAGATTTGTTCTATTATTAAATAGAACATGGTTAGCTGGCGAGAATGTCATATGATATTAAGCTCGCCATTTGTACAAAGTTTTATTGTGCAATAAATATCTAAAATCGATTAATTGATTTACAGATTATATACTTATATTTTATTAGATAAATTATGTTATTTTTTTAACGGATGATAATGGAATTGTAACTCCGTCTGTCGCTATCGGTATACGCTGGCGGGGCACTTGTGAGGAATGCATGATAGGTGATGATGAAAGTAGATCAGTTAGCCCATCGGGACGAATTCCACTAGAATGAACCACGATGGTTTCCAGGAAAAACAGTAGGGAGGTCGACCTGATGGGGTTTATTGCTGGCAATGGGTCAGCTAGACTCCATTACTAACAATCGCATTCCCCCCTCCCCCATGTTATATTTGACAGTATCTACATACATATACAGTGGATTTCGGGTATAACGACGATGAAGGGACTACTTTATTTTCGTCGTTATATCCGGAAGTCGTTACGTGAAGGTGCTACTCAGAATATCACTTTGTAACTAAACCATAAATTTAACTCCAAAACGTACACGCTTCCCTATCCACACTTGCTGACCATCTGTGTGGATGTAAACAAAAGGTTAGAAATGTTTGTGAAAAAAAGAAATCTTGTTGTCTCTTTAGCGGCCAATTTCCGTCGCAATATCTGCATGGGATTTCTAGGAATTTGCTACAAATGATTTATTAAAAACAGTCGTTACACCCGAAATCCACTGTATTATCGATTCAATAAAAATAACTTATGTACATTTTACCAGGCTTGCGTTAGTTGGAACAATGACGTTTTTGTATGAAACTATATTACCTAGAGTCAGCCAATATTAAGAAATGATATTACATCATGGCGGATCATAGCTATCTTGAATGACAATCGGAGTCATGTATTATTTCAAAAATAGCGATTCACTTATAATTATTTTTCTTAATATTATAATAACTAATTTGCTTTTTGATAAATTATATAATAATACACAAAAATGTATTTGTTTTAAGTGTAATATGACATAATAAAAAGAACAAAATTCGTTTTCAGCATAATTTTCAATATATTTGACAAAAAAAAGTATACATAATATTAATTTACTCGTTCATATTCATATCGATGGGGAAGAAAGGCTTTTAAGTGGCCACCCCGTACGGGTAAACGCGGTGTAGGGTGACCCTCTACTACATAGAGTGAAGACTTCAAATGCATTGCAGGAAGATTGGATGCGGATGGCTAGATACCGTTTATATACATATATTGCTATAAAATTCCTGGTGATTTTATTGCGACGGAGCAATTGGCATCATTTCATTCTTACTTTATCTATCATAATTACTGGTACTCCAGCAGAGTAGGTGTACCAGTTGTGGATGCAAGGTTACCATTTTATTTTCATCCCATATAAAACCTCGCCTGAGTTCACTGCACCTATACGTATGTCCCCCTCTCCCAAAACCAATATGGTAAATTCTTTTGAATTTGCCATGATAAGCTAACTTATTTGATTTGGTTAGGGGGAAAGGACTGGTAGTAATGCGGATTACTACTCCCATTGCTAACAATATATACCCTAACAGGTCGACCTCCCTGTGGTTCCCCTGTAAACCATAGTGTTAAATTCCAAGTGTATTAATTTCTAGCCTATGGTAATTAATACACTTGGAATTTAACACTATGGTTATGGTACGGACCTGCTTTCATCGTCACCTAACACCCCGCACTGGTGCGTCCCACCAGCGTACACCGATAGCGCAGGCAGGGTTCCCATTTCATTATAACCATTATAAAATAAAAAAAAAAAAACTGATTTAATTGGGGAAAAAGGGATTGATAGTAATCGTCTAACAGCCCCATTGCTAGCAATATACCCTTACAGGTCGACTTGCACGCGGTTCTCCATGGAAACCATCGTACTTAATTATTGATGAATTGGTCACCATGGGCCAACTGACCTACTTTTATCTTCACCTATCATCTCTCACTAGTGCACCGCTAGCGTGTACCGATAGCGCAGGAATAAAAAACTAATGAGTAGTTGGTGAATATTAAAATAACTTTCATTTAGGTAAGTTATTATTGTCGTATTTCAGTACATACTTTAATCTTAATCACAGAAGAGTAATTACAAGATTATTGCAACAGAAAGAGAGCAAGGGAAAATAAAAAAAAAAAAAACATAATATCAGTATCTCTTAAGACACAAAATCTTTTAATACTAAAAAATTTTAATACTAAAATGATATTTTAATACTATGCTAGTAGTACTTATTTATAAATTACAATGCAGTTCACAATAAACTGTTATGATAATGTGTTTTTAAATTGTCAAAAATATTGGTTAATTTGTATAAAATTTACGTTTTTAAAAGATATTATGTATTACTTAATACCTATAAGTACTATACACATCTAGTCACATAAACATGTATTTACAATTGTACCTAAAACTGTAGAAGGTACGTACAAATTATATTGTGAGTTCACTTAACAAAGGACTGATTTGATCTACAATAGATCGTTGTATTTGCTCGTCCAGAGGTTCAACATTGTATCCTAAAAATGTACCCATTTGGCGACAGCTTTTTATATACGTATTCCACATCGGATCCTTCTGCAAATTTATAGGGTTGCCGATAATAATAGTCTTTGCTTTTGCCCGAGTCAATGCGACATTAAATCTCTGTAATAAAAAAAAGAAAATAAAATTAATAAGTCTCATCACTAGACTCTGCATTAAAAACAATAATAATTTTCTAATATAATAAAATTGTAATTAGACGATGTTACACGACGATGTTAGACGATGGAGATAGTTTTAAGGCAACACGCAAATATTACTGTAGAAAATTGAATCCGGTTTTTACAGTTATGTACCTGAAGTTATAACTTAAAATCTGGTGTATGTGTTATAAAAAATGAAATGAAATGAAAAATCATTGGTCCGACTTTTGATATTCATCTGTAAAAAGTAACAAGGTAAAAGCTAGCAAATAATAAGATTATAATTAATTATAATAAAAATATGGATCAGTGTGAATTGTTACTACGTACCTAAGAGGTACGTAGTTTAGGGGTTTATCCTAATTTTGGAACCAAAAATTGTGAGTTCGAATTTAGTCTACACAAAAATATTGTCAATTTAATTTTACAAATATCTGATGATGAAAACATCACAAAGGAATATAAATTATTTTAATAATATAATTAGTCGCACTAGTATTACATCATTTTACCTTTGGGTCACTGAGGAAACCTATTTTGAACTTTCCAGCGCTCTTTGTAAAGTCGCATTTACCTCGCACTGTTGTTATAATCACAATTCTCTTCTCACGGCCCTGGAAGGCTTCCACAGTTCCAACTTCGATATTATAATAGCCTTGCTCTTCTAGCCAATCTTTAATTTTGTGTACCTATAATATAATGTTAATAATTTAAAAAATGTAATGTACAAACTTAGATAGAGACAAATAGAACGCCACGAGAGGGGGGCGGGGGGGATTAGGGATTGTTAGGAATGATGATTAGTAGCCAATAGGGCTACTAATAAGCTAAAAATATATCCTATTAGGTCGACCTCTACGCGGTTTCTCCTGTACACCATCGTGGTTAATTTATTATTTAATTCGGTAAGATAGACAAATTGAACTGCTACTTCATACCTCACTGGTCTTCGCCAGCGTGTACTGACAGCGCAAGCAGGGTTATCATTATATTATCATCTCTTATAAAAAAAGTAGAACGCAACGCGTTTTACTTTATCGTTCATCTTGTTTTATGTATAATAATAATAGTCTCCGTTTCTGATCTTAAACTATTTTGTAACAATAATATTTCTATATTTAATGTTACATGTTATAATAAGGATCAGACTTAAAGTTGGGAGGGCACTTGTCTAAAGCGGCAAAAATGAGGGTCTGACAATTGCAAAATTGAGAGCAACTGACGGCAGAAAACGGTAAGCATGCTACGTACACTCGCGTCACACTATAAATCCTTTTTTAGGTACTTTTTTATTGTTATTGCAGTAAATAATACTGCAGTAAGTAATACATATTGCCGATTAGGGCAAATATAAATATATGATTTACCGGAGCTATGAATTCGTTCGGATTCTGTAGATAATTAACAAATAATTATTTAGAAAATCACGGATGTAAGTTTTATTGGAAAATGTGTTACAATGGAGACTGCCCGCGATTCTGTTCCGAATTTTGTTGGGATGGGAATATAGGATCTCTGTAATATGTGACCTTAGGTGCAAATTTTATCCACATAGTAGTTAAAAAAAATTACATGGAGCTTCGCGAACATTCTCGATGTACTATAGAATCGTAAAAGTCGCATTAGGGTGAAATGTAGCGAAATTTTAAGGTAGAAAGGCAAAATGTCTTAATCCTCAGGAATGGAAATTTATACATATGAGTGTCACAATGTTTTCTGTGATATTATTACTTACCTGTAGAGACCTAGATGTTACCTACCTGTCTTATGTATGGCGAGATGATTCCTATATCCTCTTGTGGTATTTTGTGACGTTTTATCAGAGATAAAACATAGTGTCGTACTACTTCTAATTCCATTATATTGAAGAAACTGTAACAAATTTTTAATAATATTATACCCGTATCACTATTCGTGTGAAGAATTTCCAGCGCCTTCGTTATACACAAAGGCCTCTAACGTGGTTGAACAATGGATTCTTTAAGGTCTAATTGTTTTATATTGATAGTACCTATCTATATATACATTGAATAAAATTATATAAAAATTGCTAAGGGTACTTTTTTACATCAAAGTTATATGGTGCAATGTTAATAAAAGCGACGGTTAACACTTTCCATTAGATGGACCGTCAGCTTACTTATTGCTTCCAGTTGCATAAAAAAGTTGGTATCTAAAGTCTATCTAGTATACCTTTGATCTAAAAGTCAAGTGAACTATATATGATAAATACAACAATTATATTTATAATATAATCCCATTGTATCCGCTGTGATGAATTGTAAAGAGAAAATAAATCAATTATTATGAAACGTGTAGACTACACGATAGTCATCAGTCTTAGTTATCAGATATTGTAACACATAAGCGTCTTAATATTGTCGTCATTTTAATTGGCCGAGCCATTTATTTCGACTTATATAGTATTACTATGTAAAATGAAAAATTTTTGGCTCCACCGATAGAAAATTAATTTTAATTTTACGATCCTACGTAAAGGCTAAGTTCGGTCCTGAGTTTTATCGGTGAAATACTTGTTTAGTTAAACTAAAAAGATGTTAATGGTTTCCAAATGAAATGGTTTATTTGCTTGACATTGCGTGTCCAACAAATATTATATAATGTTAGTTGGATAAATAAATAGATACTACGTGTGATAGGAGTTATACGTTTGATTTCTATTATAATTCTGTTATTTTACATTTGTATTTTGAATTGATTTTATGTTTAATATTTTAGGGGACATTTTGTTTTTTATACTTTAGATTTTAGATGTAAACCTACTTAGTAGCTTGTCTATGACAAAACTAAAAAAAAAACTAGATAATAAATGTATTATATTTCAATGCAAAGAAAAAAATTAAAATATTAATTAAAGTTAAATAAAGTGATATTACCTGGGTGACTTGCCAAGTCGTTGTTCCTTGGAAATTACGCTATGGAAGACAATTGCTCTACTCTGACTTTTCACACCTAGGATATCCAATTGGCTTAAACGATCCATGTTAGACATACACTACAAATATAAAAATCAAATATAATTATCATAATTATGACCTTTGCTTCAAATATCATGTATCGGGGTTTTTCAAAAAGGGTGTAATAAAGTTTTTTAAGAGTCGGCAACGCATGCGTAACACCCCTAGTGACGCAGGCGTCCGTACGTTACGGTAACCGTTTGCCAGCAAACTGGCAATAAGCTAATTCGCCACGATAGTAATATATAAAAAAAAAAAAAAAAAACTTCTGAAGACGATATAGCCAAGGAGGCTGGTGTATAATTTTAAACTAGTATTGTTAAAAGAGAGGGAAGACACGATAGACCGGATACTCAATAAAATTTGACATCCTGGGGATTAAAAGAATAAAGAGGATGTTATATTTTACTCAGTCACAACAAAGAGACACAGTCTTTGGTCTATAACCACATCATCACATGGTTGCAGATTCGATCCCCGTACGATACAAACATTTGTACTCAAGGTATGGTTTAGAAATTTTCTATGCACAATTTATGTGTGTATTAAAAAAAGTATTTAAGTGTCTCATTAATATATTGTAGTACATTATTTTGATTTATGTCGTGGGGTACAATGTGGTGCAATGTAAACGCAAAAAATGTGTTTATTTACGACATCACATTAGAAACCTCTAAATTTATCAGTGTTTTTCTACAATATTATGCATGTATTATACATATAAACCTTCCTCTTGAATCACTCTATCTATTAATAAAAAAAACCGCTTCAAAATCCGTTGCGTAGTTTTAAAGATTTAAGCATACATAGGAACAGACAGCGACGGCTTTGTTTTATACTATGTAGTGATTAGTTCATTAACACCCGTTGTACAAATTCTGTTTTATACGGGAATAGATACCGCTATGTAATATAAATAGTATATATCTACTTTACTCCTTTCTTTATTTGGATGTCGTAAGAGGTGACTAAGAGGGTTTAATGGTCGAGGAATGGACAGCAGCGTCCCCCTTAAAATAGCAACAAAGCCTGATTGCGAATGTTAACTCAACTGCCAAGTGTGGCAATTGCTGTCAAGCGGCTATTACTGGCAAAACCTTCATCATGGGGAGGCTAATGTCAGTAGTGAACGGTTATTATTATGTGATTGGTATCATGATCATATATTTATTTTCATTGTAATAATTTAATAGGAATAAATTCAGCATTAATAGTGGCGCAGACCTCTGTCAGCATTCATCCTTGTTAGACAATTTTCCACTACTTACCCTTAGTTGTCCGTTGTAGAACAGATCGTTTGGTATTTGCAGTATATCGGGATGGGACCGAAAATTACTACGGAGCATCACAATATAGTTTGGATCATTTCTTGCGTCGCTGTACAAACTGCATTTACTCTTAAGTCTCTCCATCAGCGATAAACCTAGTCAACATTGGTATTACAATTAAGAAAGCCTATGTTCTTCTCCATTTAATATGTGTGTATACCAAATTTTAAGAGGATTAATTATACACACAAAAAAAACTGACTATCACATTCATAATATTAGTAAGGCTTTTCATTTGGAAATTACGTTTATTATTCTATTTTTCAATCAATTTTGATATATTTTTTTAAATCGAATGAGTTCAATACCATGTGGGTAATTTCGGGCGAAAGGGATTGTTTTAGTAATTGCGATCTAATAGTTCCATTGCTAGCAATATATCCTATCAGGTTGATCTCCACGCGAATCCCCAGGAAACCATTTTGGTTAATTCTTCTGATATTTATCACGATAGGTTAACTAGCCTGCTTTCACTCTCTTCTATCACCTCCCACTGAAGCCCCGCCAGGGTAACCGTTTCATTATAGTAACTTATAAAAATACATTAATTTTGTTATGATCAAAGTTATCTGTTACGAGTAAGTACAATGAATCGTGCCAACATGCTGATATTTAAAAAAAAACTTGTTCTACAAATTCCGTTAATGGCACGGAATCTTTTAAATAATGCATCAACTCACCAAGTCCGATTTCCTTCGCTTTGTGTGATATAACGACAGGACCAAGTTGGAGTGGATCGCCAGCTAGTACCAATAAACCTTTTGGATGAAGTAACCCACTTGCTGGAATAAGGCACGCAGGCTCACTAGCTTGAGCCGCTTCATCAATGAACAGGTGTGTAATGTGAGGTTTGTCATTTCTGAGCTGCCTGATACATTATTTATATAGTTTAAATCATAATTTATTTACTAGAATAAGATTTTACGTATGTAGTCTGCAGTGATACCTATTTTTACCTTCAAGCAGCTACATGATAATGAAATTACTGAGAATGGGGTTGTCGCACCATAGATGTGTAGTCTGGCGATGATTACTTTACATCAAGCGAGCTGAGAATATATTTGCTATTACCATTAAGTTTTATAAAAAATAATATATTACATAGATGTTTGCACAAGAGAGATGGAGATATCAAGAATGGGAATGGTTATTCCACAAAGGTTTATCTTCGGTCTAACATAATTGCAATGTATATTAATATTCTCCATCATATATAATTCTTATTATTTCACTTTTAAAGTAGATCGACTGTAGAAGAATTTCGTTATGCAATTTAAAAGATAAGCTTTTAACATCGACGTCCTAAAATATATTGTGAAGCGATATATACAGCAATATATGGCTGTTTTTGAAGACTAAGGCATTAATCTCTATAGTTGTTGTCCTTTTATCCGAACACAGTTAATACATGTAAAGAAACACGAGTGGTACTGAGTTGTACAAAGTCTCCCTCAGATATATTTATCACAGTATGTTATTAGTCAATGTATCTTCTTTAATTTTGAAAAGTTGCATCAATTGTGTACGAACATGAATGAATTGCGAAGTGACAAGTTAAGAAGACAATTTAATTACTTACTTGGCGAATTTAGCAGCGTGTGACAGGGTTGTCACAACAATGTTGTAGGACCTAAATTTGGTTATAGGCACATTTTTGTATTCAGAAGACGTCATACCATTAGAATATGATTTAAGAGCTTCTGGTATATCCCTGGAAATGTGAAATAACTGGTATAATGTATTCATATATAATAAGAGGATGTTACTTATGAGTGACCTAAGAGGTGAACATTAAGGAAGAAATTTTGAAAATTCAACCCCTAAAGGCCGAAATGAAAGATGAAAATTTGTATAAGAGTTCTGTTATTTTTAAAATTAAAACTATGAACGCTTTAGGTTTTTGATTAAAAAAAAATGTCCAGCAATTTTTAGAAAACCTATTCCTAAAGAAGTGAGATAGGGGATGATTTGATTTAAATTACAATTTGTATGTAAATTTGTTAATTTAAAGTTAGAAATGAGATAAAGTCGCGGGCAACGACTATAATTTATAAGGCTGAGACAAAAAAAGTGACTCCAGCGAGAAATTGAAGGCCCCATGAATGAAGTCGCGGGCATAAACTATTATAAAAATATATAGACAACAATACAGGCTAGGGTAATTTTTTTAAGTACCAAAGGTTTTTCTTTAAGTAAAAACAATAAAAAATCGTATAGAATAAATAATACCTATCCTTGCTACTAAAAAAAATTATTAGGTACAGAAATGAGTCTCTATGCAATTTCAATTTTGTAAATTTTTATTCCCCTATCCTTTTGGTGAGATGTTTGAGTCCTAATATCGCATCGCAAAGATTAATAAAGACTTCAATTATGAAAAAATCAATCGATAGAACCACCATGGAAGTAAACCGCTATAGACTAAAAAAAGTAATTATCAAAATCTAGAATCAGTCTAGAATTGACAAAAATATTGCGTAACATACACACAAAAAGTATACATGCTAGTATTCTGATTCTTGCAATTTTCTTTTTTGCAGTTTGTAATCTATGTAACTTTACATCATCATTTCAGCCGTCTACTGTCCACTGCTGAACAAAGACCTTCCCCAAAAAGATTTTTAACAGTAGTTGCCACGCTTGGCAGGCGGATTGGCAACTGTAGTCAAACTTTAGTGATGTTTTGAAAGGGGTGCTTCTATCACCTACGCGAAATGAAGTAGTGGAGTGATGGTCTATTCTATGCCGGGACCACAGGGCACTATATAACTTACCATGTTCTAAATCTCGAGTTTGCGCGAAGAAGTAATTTTCCCTTCCTGTCAGGGAAATAGTTGACGTACTTCACCAACATGGTTGCAATATAATCAGCAGAGTTATTGGAATCGGTGCATACAAGAATACTATTTTTAGAATTTTTCAACACCAACTGAAAATATCGATTGGATGATAACAGAATCTCCGCTATCCTTATACACTGGCGAGCACTAGTAAAGAGTGGACTCATACAGATGAATGATTTGATTTTTTAAAGTTTTATTGCGTTAACGGAATACTTTCTAAATAATCAATCAGAAAATTATTAACTATTAAATTATTTTCGAAAATTGACAGATAATTTTATGGCACACGTCGTCAAGCTAATGTTATGAACATTCTCAGAACTGTAACAGGTAATAGGCAAACGAATAAACTTATATTTATATTTATAAAATTAGTCTCTTTCTCAGTCAACTAACTGTACTTTAAACATACCTGAAGAATAGCCTCCACAATGGTAACAGTTTTGCCGGTACCGGGAGGCCCGTGTATCAAATAAGGCGCGATCCCAGACGTCTCCGATACTATATGTTCCACTGCCGTGCGTTGTTCTTTGTTGTCTCGAACCAGCGGATTGAAGAATCTTTGAATACAAAAATTAATATTTATAGCATATTTATTTGTTTACTAGTTTTTATCTATAACTTCGTCTGGCTCTTAAACAGCTTAAAAATGGCAAGGCACCGGGGGCGGACGAAATCACAGCAGAACTTTTGAGAGCAGGTGAAAAACCGGTATTTATAGTCTTTCAGAAGCTATATTTAATTTCGTCATCCATAACAGATTATACAGAAGATCGAAGAGTACTATGAAAAAGACTTAGATTCTTTTTTGTTTTATACAACTTAGAATGGCAATCAAGCGGACGGTCCACCTGATGGAAAGTGGTCCCTGTCGCCTATAGACATGAGCAGTACCATGGACATAACAGAGTATACTTTTTCCCCCATGATACCCCCCATGCGTTGCCATTCCTGAGGATTCGGGTGTTATTCCTTTGTACCCAGTAAATTCACGCCATATCCCACTCTTCAAACCGAAACACAGCCATGCAAACACAGCTGTTTCACGGTTGAAACACGAATGGTACAGAGGTATCCAAGCAATCGACTTTTGTACAAAGTCTCCCTCTGGTAAGATTCAGTCGAGATATGGGCGGTATTACTATTGTATTGAAGTGTGTGTATTGTGTTGAAGTGTATGTACTATAAGGCTACGATATCTATCCGAGTACAGAACCAGAGTACAAAACCCAACCTAGTGCAGGAAGGTATAAGACGGGGTGACTCCGAAAGTATTCACAGCTGCATTGGAAGATGTTTTCAAACTTTTGGACTGGAAAAGATATGGTATAATCATCAAAGGCGAATACATTACTCACCTTCGATTTGTCGATAACAAAGTAATCATAGTGGAATCTCCGGAGGATTTGAATACTATGACCTCAATGGCCACCTGTTTCTCAACAGGTATATCTTAAGATGAACATGGACAAGACTAAAATCATGCTTGACGTCCATGTCACACCGGTTACAATTGAGAACACTACTGTCGAAGTTGTCGACGAGTATGTATATCTAAGACAAACTATCCGAATGGGCAAGTCGAACTTTGACCGAGAGGTCAACCAACGAATACGATTCGGCTGGGCAGCGTTCGGAAACTACGACACATCTTTCATCCGTACCTTCCGTATCTCCGGATATCCGTATCTGTACCTTCGTCTTAAAAATATCTCCGTTTTAAGACGAAGGTACAGTGCGTGTTGTCAGTGATGACTTATAGAACCAAAACATGGTCCGACATGATTGCCCGTATGCAAAAGTTTCAAATTACTCAACGGGCTATGGAAAGGGCTATGCTCGGACTTTGTTTGCTTGATAGAATCCGAAACGAGAATACCCATAAAAGAACCAAAGTAACCGACATAGCCCGAAGGATAAGCAAGTTGAAATGGCAATGGGCTGGTCATATAGTTCCAAAAACCTACAACCAATGAGAAAGAAAGGTTCCCGAGTGACGTACGAACAAACGCAATGGAGGACAACCTCCACTACATGAAGTGACGACCTCAAATGCATTGCAGGAAATCAGTGGATGCAAGTGGCTCAGAACCGTTCCTTATAGTAGTCTATGGGGAAGGCCTATCCAGCAGTGGATGGATAATAGCTGAAATGATGAGGATGATGATGATTTATAAATTTTATCGTATTCCTAGTATTTAAAGTATATATGTTAGGATAAGGATATAATCTATCTGTGTAATAGTAAATTTTATTACAAATCCGTTTAGTAGTTTTTAAGTAAAAGAGTAACAAATATTCATTTATAAATTCTCACAAACTTTTGTATTTATAATAGTAAATAATTTTGTCTTTATAATAGATGTAGTAATAAGAAAGTCAGTTTCCATAGCTAGCAATTTACCATATCAGATCAGCCACCACACGGTCCCATATTATTTCATAGTGAATTTGTCATGATGGGCCGACTGACTTCATTTTCATGGCTTCATTGCCCTTCCATTATGATCCAACAAAAAAAAAAAAGACAATGTAGGAAGATATACATTAAAAAACTAATAACATTAGTATGGATTCAGATAATATTTGTTAAATATGTGTGTTCACGTGTGCAAAGTCGTAGACTATTGATAGCTAGTACTTACTTTGTAATACTCTGTACCACTGGAATTTTAGGATTTCTCTCGGGAAATATACGACCTTCGTGTCCCATTTGTTGAATATTAGTAATTGCATGATGCATTCGTTCCAGTGTGAGTCGAGACAAAAAGAATCGAATATCAAATAGAGCATTTTGATTGTAGTAATTTTTAAAACTGGAACGAAAAATGTTTATTTTATTTTTTAATACCACAGAACTTAATACACAGCGTCATCTATTTCCAAACTAAACAAAGCTTGCACTATATAATTTATAGTAGTAGGAACAACTAATAGACAAGTTTTTTTTTTTATAAATACATACATAGTTTATACTATGTATGTATTTATAAAAAAAAAAACTTACATTAAAAACTTAAATAGAAAACAGCCACATTTATTATTTACAGATAAAATTATAATTACTCAGAGTTCAAGCCACTTATTTCTATTATGTTACACTCCTTTATTGCAGTGATCATAGCTTCAAACATTATGTTGGCCTTTACCGGTTTAACAAACAACAGGTCACCTGAAATATTTTAAAAATAAATTAACATCTGTGTAAAACATTTTAGAAAAGGTCTTTTGTTTAAATGATCAATAAAAAAAGTTATATGATACATTTTTAATATATCTCAATAAATTTTAAATTAATTTATATCAATTTTTTAATAATTTTATTTCCTGTATATTTGTTTGTCTATATTACTTCTATTACTAATATTATAAAGAGGAAAGATTTGATTGTTTATTTGTAATGAACAATCTCAAAAACTATTTAACAGATTTTAATAATTTCTCATGTATCAACGAAAAAAATTGATTAAATATTATTAAAAAAAAAATAGAAGAGATCCGTAAGAAAATTAAAAAAATAAAACTATCAAAAAGATTATTTGGGTTTTATAGGAATTATTGAGTTTTCGTTTATCCAATAGTAGCGGGTTCCAATATTAATGGATAAACTAAAAATCAATTAACCGATTTTAAAAATACTTTTACCCATAGAAAGCTACATTGTCAGCGAGTAACATAGCCTCTATTTTATTTAAAAAGCGTGCGAAGCCGGACCGAGCTGTTAGTAAAAAAAAATTAAATTGTGTATCTATTTCGAAATGAAATTAGTTGAATTAATAAATTAACTTTATTTATTGTAATTTTTCTTATACAACTTAGAATGGCAAACAAGCTGACGGTCCACCTGATGGAAAGTGGTAACCGTCGCCTATAGACATGAGCAATACCATGGATATAACAGAGTATACTGTCTCACCCATGATACACCCTATGCGTTGCCATTCCTGAGGACTCAGGTGTTATTCCTCTGTACCCAGTAAATTCACGCCATATCCCACCCTTCAAACCGAAATACAGCCATGCAAACACAACTGCTTCATGGTTGAAACTGATATCTCTTTTATACAAATTAATAGAGGGAGACTGTATAAAAGTTATCTGATTTTACTGTATCGGAATCCTCCATGTGTTAGTTGAACTCAAGATTGACCAGATTTACCTGATAGTAATGATGGCCGCTTCACTGCTAGTCCAGGGACTGCTAGGTAGTAACTATTATGTGCCTCACTTTGTTGTATAGTAACATCCGACATATTGTAATTCTATAATATATATATATTTTTATTATTATTTTTATACAACTTAGAATGGCAAACAAGCTGACGGCCCACCTGTTGGAATGTAGTAACTGTAATCTATAGACGTAAACTGTACCATGGACATAACAAAGTATGCTGTGTCACAAATTATACCTTTCATGTGTTGCCGTTCCCGAGGACTTAGGTGTTATACCTCTGTAGCCTGTATTTTCACTGCCATATCACACCCTTTAAACCGAAATACAGCCATTCAAAAACAACTATTTCGGTAGAAATACAAATGGGAATGATATAAGAAGATTTATAAAATTATTGTTTATAGAAGAAGAAATTCAATTCTCTAGTATTTTCCTTAAATTAGGCACTAATTAGTGTTTTATTTCTATGTCTAATTAAAATAATGGCCTTTGTTTTATTTAATTTGTTCAAATTTCAGTTTTATTACTTTTTATTTTATTTTAATGCACATTTCTTTTGTTATTATGTAAGTGCTTAAAACGTAGTTAGCATCCTTAGGAATAGTACAAATGTGAAAACGAGTTTGTTTGTTATCTCTTAGTGCCTTAACGGCTTAACCAATCATTAGGAAATTTGGTAAATACACGTACTACCTATATGAGACGCAAAAGGATGCAGGCTACTTTTTCCCTAGATAATGAATATGTCCCGATCACTTTCAAATAATTACGTTAATACTAATACCTTATAATTTGATTTCACAACTGCTTCTTCGTACCATAATAAATATTGAAAATATTTTTTGTAATTATCTTTGGTTACACCAATATCGAATACATCCCTGAAAAAAAAAATAGTTTTCATTACATTAAGAAGACACGAAACTAATTAATAATTAAAAAAAAAACAGTAATAATAATAAAAAAATAAATAAAACCAACTTGATACTTTTAACTTTTGCTATTTCATCTTCTGGTGCTTTGTCATTTACATGTAGGCCACTTGTGAATATTGTTTTTAACTGTGGCGGAATTCGATGCTTGTCGTCGTTGTACCTGAAAAACAGTCAATTGGATTAATAAGGATAGTTGTTAATTTTGAATTGTGAATTATCCACCGTCAGTTTTTGTATATAATATATACAATTTACAGTTATATACAATTACCTGGACCAGGGGTCGGCAACCTGCGGCTCGCGAGCCACATGCGGATCTTTGGATATGAAACTGCGACTCTTTAGTTGCATATGTAAATATTTTACATAAAAAAAAATTAAAAATAATTCTGAATCGATTAACCAGGGTTAGGCACCAATTTTATTTCTGCAAGTAAAATTGGCAAGAAATTTTTTTGTGGCTTTTTAAAAACTTTGAAATTTTGTAAACTGTAATTTCTGAGTTTTTCGACTCAAAAAGTCGACCCCTGTCCTAGACCAATGGCAGATCTATCGGTAAACACGTTTTCGATGGCGCGTACATAAGAAAAAATAAAATGTCGTTGCAGTCTCGTTTTATAGATTTGTAAATAACTTGTGTAGGGACCTGATGACAGTAGAAACGCAGCCATCAGGAATGACAACGTACTTAGATTATGAGATTGTATCCGTATAGTTGTTCTACCGTGATAGTACCTGAGGACGACGCATTACAGACATGTGTATTCTGTAATGTATGTAGGTGACAGTTACCATTTTATGAGCCGTCAGTTCGTTTACTGTTCTTCTGTTTGCTTAAAAAAATCTTCTATTACTCGACTTTAACAATACGTCTTCGTATTAGGTTTACATAAACAGGTAGTGCTTTAAATTTCTAAGCAACCTAAGAAAGTATTAATTCCTAAAAAATACTTATTACTAGGAATAGTTTATTATTTTGGTTATTATAATTTGTTAAACTAAATTAGGTGGTAAATATACCTACCTAGGCATAATTTTTTTTACCAAAACCCTTGCTAGCACTTCTTTTTTGGAATAAGGACTTATTTCTTTCTCATGAATGCTCTGAGTCTCCTCAACATAGACCGCCTAAAATATGAATTAGAAATTAAAGGTTTTATATAAGTAAATAAAAATATACAACTATTCAAAAGCATTTGTTATGTTTACATTTTAAATTATAAAAAGAGCATTAAGTATTATATTTCTTTCAGTATAATTTTTTAACCGACTTCAAAAAGAAGGAGGTTCTCAATTCGAATGCACTTATTTTTTATGTTTGTTACCTCAAATCTCCATCAGTTCTAAATCGATTTGGAAAATTCTTTTTTCACGCGTTTCATGACACGATGCGCTAATTGACCTGCCTGCATCCTCACCTATCATCCTTCATTGTTGCCCCGTAAGTGTATACCGATAGAGTAACAAGGTTAACATTATTTTATCACCCATTAAAAGAACACTACACAAAAGTCAGTAACGCTACGTGTATTATTGAACCTTCCCTCCGATGTTACAAGCATTCAGAGTAATGGTGCTGACCATCAGGCGGATCGTAAGTTTGATGGCCAGTTTCTACCGCAGTAGGATAACAAAAAAATACTTACCACATCTCGCACTATTATAATGTTTTTCCTTGTTCTTATGTCGTGGAATGAAAAGAAAACCGGTACTTCATATTGACCAATATGGGCAGATTTAAATTTTATAGAGACTGCTTTTTTAATTTGTGTTCCTGGAATACATTATCTTAGTTGTGGAATAGAACTTAAGTTACGAGATCATATTAAGTTTTTACTACTATAGCATAATATTACTTAATACTATAATGCCTTTGCATAATTCTCCTGGGTCACAGTATAAATTGACCTCAGGTACCTACTTATCTTTAGCATATAGTAGCAAAATCAACTTCTGAGCACTTTTAATTTTTTTTATACAACTTAGAATGACAAACAAGCTGAGGACCCACCTGATGGAAAGTGGTAACCGTCGCCTATAGACATGAGCAGTACCATGGATATAACAGAGTATACTGTTTCGCCCATGATACCCTCGATGCGTTGCCATTCCTGAGGACTCAGGTGTTATTCCTCTGTACCCAGTAAATTCGTGCCATATCCAACCCTTCAAACCGAAACACAGCCATGCAAACACAACTGCTTCACGGTTGAAACATTTAATACTGAATTTCTTATTATGAAATAGTAATGTATCTAAACTTTAGTGATAAAGCAATTTTTTTTATATCTAAATCAATATTCTTTGTCAACACAATCATCATCATATCAGCCATTAAGTGTCCACTGCTGAACATAGGCGTCCCCCTATTGGGGAGTTCTGCCAATAGTTGCCACGCTTGGTATGCGAGTTGGCAATCGCAGTTAGTCTTTGGTGAGATTTTAAGAGGAACGCTGCTGCCTATCGCTCGACCTAATTTCCCTTAGTCGCTTCATACGACACCCACGGGAAGGAAAGGGTGGTCCATTCTATGCCATGACAACACGGCGACCTGTGCCATTTGTCATGTCTATTGTCAACGAAATACTAGCGAATAGCTGACTGAGAGGTAATACAACACTCATACAGTCCATGGATAAGTTCGGAGTATTCATATTTTTCTTCGCTCAATATCTATAATATATTCCATGATATCCGTGTGCTCCTCATGTTTATAGGCAACGATTATCACCTTCCATTAGGAGAGCAATCAGTTTGTGTCATTGTAAGATGCATAAACTAAAATCCTTGATGAAATAAGCGTAAATAAATGTAATTAATACAGCGAGTATATAACATGTACATGATCATAGTAAATTGATATTCAGTATGTTTATACGATAAGTGAAAATAATCTTATGGATTTACTCTATGTATACTGATATCTTTGTATAAAATCACTTACCTGGTTTTAACGGTTGCAAATCTAAATGATAATTTAAATGAAAGTTCGTCTTCGAATGTAGCATTTGTATGAAATCTATACGAATAATATCAGTCGTATTGTTATTTATTATTGTAAAATTGAACTGCACTTCTTCGGTAGGTTTTGCCTGAAAATATTGTACTAGAATTTACCATGATGGTTTCCAGGGGAAACCGCCAGAAAGTTGACCTGATAGGGTATATTGTTAGTAATGGGGTTGTTAGAATACATTACTAACAACCTCTTTCCCCCCTCCCCCAAAAGAAGGCATTAGGTAATTAAAATTTTTACTTTCAGAATTCAAACCTAAAATGTACCTATTTGCATGGACATATAACACCAAAGTTTTGCGTTCAAATAAAAAAAAATACAATATCTCTCTTAATAAATGTTTCCAGCTTCAAACGTATATCCTTAAGTGTTTAACTACGTTTTACTCTATAGGGTATCAAGTTACAAGTTCCACTTACCGATAATGCTATTCTCGCATCAGTATTTTTTTTATGCATAGAAAATGAAGATCTAACGTCACATTCTACGATAATACCATTTCGGTTTTTTGCAAACTTATTTCTGGAATAAACATATAAACAATTAAAATTAGATGCCTACATATTTCGCCGAGCATATTGGAATCCGAGCATAAAAGAAAATAAAGGCATACTTATTCGATGAATATACATGAAGAATCTCATTCCATTGATGTTTTTCTGTTTGTTCATGGCCTGGATTTATATTCTTCTCTGAACAAATGTCACAATTCTTCTTTTTCACCATCTGTAGGTAAATTGAATTTGAATTAAGGTAATATTACTTTTGACTTTAATTTTATCTTTGTTTTGTTTTTCAGGTATACATACATACATATTGAAAATAATAAAGTCTTACATTATTTTAATAACGGTGGATGATACAAAAAATATATTATTAATCAAGGCTTTAGCGCCCATCAACACTTATGTAACATTGTAACAGGAGAAATACGCGAGCTGGTATTTTTTTAAGTTACGTATAATATAAAAATAATTATTATAAATACTTACGAGTATTGTAATAATAACCCTTACTTTTTTACTAATCATTACCAGAACATTCTTGTGGGTTATAAGTTTGTTAAGTTTAAGGGATCTTAATGACTCAAGTACTCAACTTATTGTCATGAAAGTACTTTTTTAATTGATGATAATATAATGGTAATCCCGCTCAGGATTACGATGTACACTGGCGGGGTACCAGTTGGGGATGACAGGTGAGCATGAAAAGGCAGGTCAGTTAGCCCATTGTGATGACTACACCTGGGATTTAGCCCGATAGATTCCAAAGGGGTCCACGTGGAGATCGACCTGACAGGGTATATTGCTAGCAATGGGACTGGTTGGCATTGGTGGACATTACCAACAATCCCTTCCCCCTTGTCATAAAAGTAGTATGAATAAGGTTGCTTGTAATGTTTTTGAGCGGTAATCTTGTTGTGGTTACTTACATAGTTAAACAATATAGGTTTAAAGTTTTACAATTTTCTGTGCCCCAATATTATTAATGACAAAAATGAAACGTTTGAATTATATTAAAGTATTCAAATGTCTGAAATGATGAATGATCATGATTCAAATGTCTGCTTAGTATGGGACTAGATGGCGCTGTGCAATATGTACAGTAGTATTTATATTATAACTAAATAAATCGTCTCTTTGAATAGAATGATAATTCTAATGACTCATGACTACGTATGAGGTGATATCATATAGGGAATATCAAAAATATTCAGTGTAAAACCTCGCTATCAGCAAACACTGCGATTATGGCCTTGCAAAGATTTATCAATAACAATATATTTCAACAATGGTTTACATTCATATGTATCGAAAGCATCGCTTTATGCACTGATTAATAAATTAATAATGTTACCTTTATAGTCCTTACAATGAAAATAGTCCAGAATGTTTGTGAATATTTACACGAATAGGTGCACTACGGATGCGAATATGAGAAGTTCTGTGGCTTGAATACCGTTTATGATTCTTGGTAGCCATTCACAAATTGCGATATCAGCAATATGACGTCAACTAGGTACGCTCGAATGTCTACATACGAGTATGTAACGAAAGCTGGCTCGCTTCCGACAAATGTATTCCTTATTCATATACTCGTAATTAAAAATTTACATAAGAGTACAATATTTTTTTTTTATAATTTCGACGGTATTCTATATAGCCGTGTGGTCCTGGCATAGAATAAGCCCCCCTTCCCTTCCCGTGGGTGTCGTAAGAGATGACTAAAGGAACTTAATGGTAAAGGGTTGGGCAGCAACATCCCTCTAAAATAAAATAAATACTAAAACAAATAAAACATCTTTAAAAGCCTAACTGCTGTAAACTCCCCTTACGGGTAAGGTTTATGCTAAACAGTGGACAGTTAACTGGCTGAAATTATGAATGATGATTCTATATAGTACTTTCTAAAATAACTAATTATTCCTATAGAACTTTCGATCAGTTTTGCCCTAAATTAAGAGTTTCAATTAAGTTTCAATTTTGGTGAAAAATTGCTCATTACTAAGTGGATAATTAGGTTCGGGAAAGACTTTCTAGATCAATTTGACTCGTCGCGATCTTTTGTAGTCTCTCCTGCTTTAGACGATTAGAGTGCCTAGACATCTTGTTGTTTTTACTTAAGGGGATTGCTTCCCCTTAGATCCAGCCCCGGATCTAAGGGGAAGCAATCCTTGCCCAGGGCGGCAGTTTCATGGGAGCGCCAAATCCTTCAAACAAGAATTCCAAATATCGAACATATGAAGCCTCTTTTCCTACAATCTCATAGATTTCTATCAAGTAATCGAAATATAATATTTTTGAAAAACAAATAAGCTTATATTTCATAGACCCAGTTAGTTTTTGAATACATACTAAGTGATTTATGAACGCATCTTAACAGATCAAGTAAATTTTTGAACGAATTTGTAAGCGAAGCTTTAGCAAACTGAAAATAATTAAAACTTATCTACGTTCTACAATGAGTCAGGATCGTCTATCTGGCCTCGCGATCCTAGCGATTTAAAACAAAACTGCCTATGTGACGGACTTTGAGGAGCTAATAGATTTTTTCTTAGAAAAGAATGCACTCCGTGTAAAGTTGTAGTCTTTCCTGGTTATATATTGTGTTTCTATTTTGTCACAAATGAAGGTTATTAGTTATTAGATAACAAAAAGTTTAAATTTATTAAAGAATTATTATTTTAATAAATGGTCACAAAAATGTATTGGCAGTTTTTCTCAAATACTGAAGGAAGGGGGCGCCACAATCAAGGTTTTGCCCCGGTTCGAAAAAAATTGTATATCTAGGGCTGCCTAAGACGATAGTAGACCATATCATCATATATTATTCCACGATATGAAAAACTTATTATAGTCTTTTGGCGTCGGTTTTCCCATTTCTAATCAATTAGGTACATTTAACATGCCGTGTAGTCCCGGTATAGAATGGGTTATCACTTCCTTTCATCATCGGTATCGTAAGAAACGATTAAAAGAACTTTTTTTTTTTTATACAACAGAATAGCAAACAAGCTGACGGCCCACCTGATGGAAAGTGGTAACCGTCGCCTATAGACATAAGGAGTACCATGGACATAACAGAGTTTACTGTTTCGTCCATGATACCCCCCATGCGTTGCCATTCTTGAGGACTCAGGTGTTATTCCTCTGTACCAGGAAGGCCAGCAGCGTCCTTTTTAAAACAATACCAAAGAGTAATTGCGGTTGCCGATGGTCTGCCAGGGGAAAGGGTTTGTTAGTAATGGGTTCTAACATATCAATTACTAGCAATATACCCTACCAGCTCGACCTCCACGCCGTTCACCCTGGAAACAATTCTTATTGAATTCTTCACGATGTGCCGACTGACCTGCGTTCATTCTCATCTATCACTGGTAAACCGACAGCATATACCGATAGCGCAGGCGGGGTTACTATTTCTTTTTTACCCATAAAAAAACCGGTCTGACAAGTGTAGCAACTATTGGCAAAACCCCCAATAGTGGGAGGCCTATGTTCAGCAGAGGTTAAAGCTAATGGCTGATATGATGATGATGATGATATACATTGGAATTTGATAAGTGAATTGGATTGTTATTTTTTACTTCTTTCTATCTGTAATAATCTGCATAATGAGTAATTAAATACTGATTGCTAGAGTGGTGAATTTAATTTTCATTTTAGATGCATGCATTCTCTCTCAAAGAGGCACCTGTCTGGGACCTTTTAGGCCACAGCCAATTTAGAAAGGTTAATTTCCGTTCGTTAAATTTATCCAACTGAGAATGGAACCGGTCACCTCATTTACGCAAAGTAATATTCATAGCACATCGAACAGAGGTCGTCGTTGTCGTTACTCATAACTGAGACATATAATACCTATTTATTATCTGCTGGTAAGTACTATTAAATTACATCTGAGCACGTGACACGGTGACACTCAAAGTTGGGCGTAGGGGGGAAGGGATTGCTGGGATATATATATATATATATATATATATATATATATATATATATATATATATATATATATATATATATATATATATATATATATATATATATACATGTTTGCACGAAAGCGTATGTATGATTTTTACACAATACGGCGCAAACGAATCGTTTCGCTGTTGAGTAGGGTGCATGTTAGCTCAGTTTTCTATAGAAAATTGTCGATAAAATGGCATGTCCGATCCTATATTGGGTGGGACAGCTTATCAATGAAAGAGCGTAATGACCGTGCATTTACTAACATAGGTTAAGTAAATTTATAACTAACAAAATGGGCCTTCTGTTGTCTAAATAAATAAATATTATTATTAATATTTAAATATATATTGTATTTAACATCTCCCTTTTTATGGGGGTAAATGTTCAACCATGCGGGCCTTAGCCAAGCAATGGTTGACTTTTTATTATTATTATTATTATATAAATATATTTATCTAAAATAATTAAATATAATCATACCTTTGATAGTTATTGGTCTTAGACGGAGTTCACCAGGTAAGAATTATAATAAACAAGCAAACCACGATCAAAGAGAAATACGAAGTGGGTACAGAACAACTTATCAACCATGATATATATACTATTGATTATATTATTTCATTCGAAGTAAACGGATGTGACAGCTGATAACGCAAATCGTCAATAGGTATGTAAATAACTGTTACGTGTATCATTGAATGTCGCCAGGTTAAATGAACAAAAATTCGGCAAAAAGTTTAGCCAAAATTGCCAAAAATTACTCTATTTTATTGTAATCTATCTTATATTCTAAGGCTAATACCATATGTACTTAATTATAACCTAACTTTATTGAGTGGGGGGAAAGGATTGTTAGTAATAAGGTCTAACAACTTCATTACTAGCAATATACCCTTAAGTCGACTTCCACGCGGTTCCCTCTGGAAACAAGCGTGGTTGATTCGTATGGAATTTACGACAAGTCAACTGATCTACCTTCATTCTCACCTGTCATCCTTCACTGGTGCCCCGCCAGCGTATACTAATAGCGCAGGCGGGGTTACCATTCCATTATCATCCATAAAAAAAAAAAAAACTTTATTTAGTATGTATCCAACTAAAAATTTGTAGTTACTTCTTAGGTTCTAATAACGTCTGAATCACAATTAATTCTTAGCGTATAAGAAAATAAATGCAAAATTATCACAATATCAACTAATTTAGATATATTTCACACATTATTAGCAGAAAACAAATTGAGCATTCTCAACAAAAATTCCATCTTTTTTTTTTTATACAACTTAGAATGGCAAACAAGCTGACGGCCCACCTGATGGAAAGTGGTAACCGTCGCCTATAGACATGAGCAGCACCATGAACATAACAGAGCACACCGTTTCGCTCATGATACCCCCCCTGCGTTGCCATTCCTGAGGACTCAGATTTTATTCCTCTGTACCCTGTAAATTCACGCCAAATCTGGGGGTCTACAATAAAAAACCTTTTAAATTTCCGGGCTCAATTTCGTGTTTTTATTCACATCGAAGTCGGTCAAGTAAATTGAAGCTTAACATTTCGTTTGTCATAAATCCTAGTATAATAGTCCAAAAGAACGATATTTTAATATTTTTAAACGGTATGTATTATACAATTTTAACATCAAAATTGTGTTTCGTTTGGTCCCGAAATTTTAGAAAATATTTTATGCTAGGCCTTCTATTATAACAGTTAAAAAAATTAACTAATCACTATAACCTAGTTGTACTTATAAACGACAACACCGTATTTTTTCAGTGAAACAAAATTTTTCGAGACCGTTTAGGTATGCTGGTCATCGATTATAAATTTTTGTCACCTCGATACTCTTCAAGATACATAGCCTAAATAGAAAAATCACCGAATCTGACAACACTGGTGTAGTGTAAAGACCCTAATTGTATCTAAAGTATATTGCCAACAAACAAAATATTATAAGTTTATCTTAAGTACCTACTCATGAAGTAGCATTAAATAATACCAATTGATAATGAATTAATCAATATAATGTGCCTAGACTAGAGTAATTTTAATATCTTTCGATAAAATTAATCATATTGATTAAAATTTTACGCAATTTATCATCGCGAATCACTCAATCGATGGATTATATCGATAGTTAGTTCAAAACAATATTATTATATAATTAATTTATATGCATAAATGAATAGTACTTTAAAAAAATGGTAATAGTTCAAAATACGTAATTTTATTAACTGCAGTCTATCGCATATACTATCAATTAATCGATTTAATTATTGTATAGTGTAAACGATTATAAAGTATTAATAGAATTCGCGGGGTGAATAGAAAAATAACTATAAAACTTTTGTCTTTTTTCTATATCAGTCATTTTTACATGAAGTGTAAATGCGATTTTATATTTATTACTCTTTTACTATCCAATTTTTAAACACATTTATGGCCTAAAATAATAAATTACGATTTATAGTATTAATAATAATAACCATTTGGCGCTTATTTCATATATTAAGTGTTGTAAAGGTAATTTTATCTCATATTTATGAATTTTCAAATGAAACCTTTAGTAGTAAACTTTTTGCAAGTTTACTCTTAATTTACCTACTTTATTTTTCATTTTATTCGTTGTTGTTTCGATAAGAGGACATTTCAATTTGTTTACACATATTTAATGACCAACTTAAGATTAATAAATGATACTCTCCTTACGTGCGAACTTAAAATTACAAAAATGACAATTCTACCAAATTTTTCTGTTGATCCTATTCTCGTTTCTATCCATCCTAACTTCGCGGTATATATAAAAAAAAAAATATTTTGGAAGATTATTTTTTTATGTATTCTCGAATTAAGCACACCAACATTATACATATTATACATAAATTAAATAACATTTTTGTGTAGTATGCTGATATGCATACCCATAGCAGGCGTACACAACATTGACTACAGATTACATGCATATAAATGTCATAATATAATTAATATAATAAATTAAATTTACAATTACATATTCTTTATTACAAAATTCAGTTAAATATAAAACAAGACTGGGCAATATCATCAATTCTACATAGTCTTCAGTATCTTACCGCGAAACACTGCCAACGAGATTATAGGATTGTATACTGAATCAATTTTTATTGCGATATCGAACCTTTAAGTGTTAGAAGAGATTTTGCCTCTGTGTGTTCTACTGCTTGTACAACGAACTGTGCTCAGAGAAATTGTTTAATATGATGCCCACAGCCACTTTTTACCATCATATGCCTCATACCCTACAGCCTAAATGGTCGCGTACTACGCGGTTTCAGAGTTGTTTTCTCTCACAAACACTCAGATTATGGAATGTGCTCCCTGCCGAGGTTTTCCCAAGAGACTACAGCATGGGGTTCTTCAAAAGGGAGGTAAAGAGGTCAGGGTCGGCAACGCGCGTGTAATAATACCCCTGGCACTACAGGCGTTCATAGGCTACGGAAACCACTTACCATCAGGTGGCCCGTATGCTTGTTTGCCACCTCAGTATATAAAAAAAATCATGATACTGTGCCGACATATTAACTGCAAAAAAAGTTAAAACGACGTTTCATATTGTTCCTAATTACCTCGTTTTACCGTAGTTATTGAACGAGCTCCCTGCCCAGGTTTTCCCAAGAGACTACAACATGGGGTTCTTCAAAAGAGGGATAAAGAAGTTTCTTCAGGGTCGGCAACGCACACGTTACCTCTGGTATTGCAGGCGTTCATAGGCTACGGTAACCGCTTACCATCAGGTGGGCTGTATGCTTGTGTGCCACCTCAGGTATAAAAAACGCAAGATATTTTATGTAGGTTTTTATGCATTGGACAAAGCGGCAAAAAGGGCTAGCGAATAAGTAGTTATGTAGTATATCACCGCATCGTGTGTGGTACAGCAGACCACGCCCTACACTCCGTCCCTTTAAAACCTAATAATAACTAGATATCTACATAATCTACTATCTAATCTAATAACTAGGTATCTGCGTGTGCAATACAATAACGCATTCCGAGCGATGCTCAACTTGCCATGGCGGTGTAGTGCGTCTGGCATGTTTGCAGAGAACAGGGTTAATGATTTTTTTGCTATTTTACGTAATTATAAGGCAAAATTTCATGACAGATTAATGACAACAAGTAATCATATTGTAGACTGTATTTCTCACAGCATACCTGACGACAAGAGATTTTATAACGAAATAATTTAAATTGGTATTTTATAATTAATGTATATTTTAAAAATAATAATAACAGTTTATTTAATTAATAATATAAAAATGTAAACTATGGGTATGGTATGTAAAGTATGGTATATACCTGAAAATAAAGCGATTTATATTATTATATTAATAAGCAACGAGTCTATTCAAATAAATTATAAAAAATAAAACTCGTTTTTACTAAATACTTACATATTATCTAATTAATATTACATATTGTAGTATCATCATTAAGCATGTCTCACCGTCATTGTCGTGGAATTTTCGTTAGACTTTTCTCCCGCGAACACTCAGGCTGTAGGTTGAGCTCCCTGCCGAGGTTTCCCTAAAATACTACCGTACGGGGTTCTTCAAAATCTAGGTTTCTTCAGGGTCGGCAACGCACAAGTGACACTTTTAGTATTACAGGTGTCTATAGGATCGTGATCGTTTACCATCAAATGGGCTGTATGCTTGTTTGTCACCTTCGTTGTATAAAAAAAAATAGGAAAAAAATAAAAAAAATACTGAATTTTTTTTATCCTTTTATTTATCTTGAATACTTGGCATTTGGTAATTACTATTTTATTCTTCGCGGACGGCAAATTATACCTACTTACTTGAAATTAGAAGCATATTAATGTGTTAATACCTGTTTAGAAGTAACTCCGTTCATCGTCCAAACTAGGGAGAAGTGGATAAGTAAATACGCTTATGCCTAAGTTTCCTTTATTTGTCCCATGTAGTTATTGCTCGATTTTCTCCTTTTTCTTTTGCTATCTATTTTTTGTTTTACTATCATCATCATCATTTCAGCCATTATCCGTCTACTGCTGGACGTAAGCCTCCCCCATAAACTGCCATAAATAAGGTCCTGAGCCACCTGCATACACTGACTCCCTGCAACGCATTTCAGGTCGCCACTCCATCTAGTGCGGGGTCGTCCTACATTGCGTTTACCTGTACGTGGGCTCCATTCAAGAACCTTTCATCCCCACCGATTGTCGTTTCTTCGAGCTATGTGACCAGCCCATTGCCACTTCAGCTTGCTTATCCTTCGGGCTATGTCTGTTATTTTGATTCTTTTGCTCTTTAAAAATCGTCATGTTGATATTTTGATAGGCATTATTAAAAACCTAGTTATTTGATAATGTACATTTTCAAATTCATTGAATTGAATGAATTCAAGAAACTAATCTCATAGATTAGGTAACTAGGTTGTAATAAAGGCGAGAAATCTGTCAACACGGGAGGGGGGAGGATAATAATAATAACAGTATCTTTAAAAATAATGTATTATCATAAAAATATACAAAACTGAAAAGATAAGTTCACCTTTACTTACATTGTTTCTAATTGTTATTATTACTGTATATTTTATAAGTGCAATTAAAAGAAAAACAACGGTTATATTAAAAGAAATCG